GCACTAAGGATGTTTTTTCTGAGCCTAAATGTGGTTAAATTATTTTTATCCCTGCTGAAGCTTAGGACGGCTCATGTCTATCAGCTCTTCTTGGCTGTGGCAGGAAAACCGTGAGGAAAAAAAATGACTGTCTGACAGCTACATCTTATTCTATTAGTATGTTTTAATTAGAACATGAGCAAGAAATGTGTTATGAATATTCATGCTCAAGGTTATTAAAATGCACAATTAATCTGTACTCAGTTTAATAACTGTATTAATGGAGAGAGGAGGTAGCTCCTATTTTTGTCATTCTCAATTGGAAAGTGTGCCTTAACTTGGGTAGTTGGGAAATGGGGTTATTTTAAAATCAGCTTGGCTCCTGCCAGCAGCATGGGCACATGGGTGTCTCCAAAACTCACACACCTCAGGGTGGGAGAGCACTGGAACAGTGGCAAAGCCAAGCCCTGCCAGGATGGAGCTCCTTCCTGCAGACAGAATTCAGCTCAGTGCCATGGGAGTTTTCAGCCACAGAATCACAAAATCCCAGAAAGGTTTGGGTTGGGAAAGACCTTAAAGCCCATCCAGTGCCACCCCTGCCATGGCAGGGACACCTCCCACTGGCCCAGGCTGCTCCCAGCCCTGCCCAGCCTGGCCTTGGGCACTGCCAGGGATCCAGGGGCAGCCACAGCTGCTCTGGGCACCCCAAGCCAGGGCCTGCCCACCCTGCCAGGGAACAATTCCTGCCCAATCTCCCATCCAGCCCTGCCCTGTGGCACTGGCAGCCATTCCCTGGCTCCTGTCCCTGCAGGCCTTGTCCCCAGTCCCTCTGCAGCTCTCCTGGAGCCCCTTCAGGCCCTGCCAGGGGCTCTGAGCTCTGCCTGGAGCCTTCTCTTGTCCAGGGGAGCAGCCCCAGCTCTGCCAGCCTGGCTCAGAGCAGAGGGGCTCCAGCCCTGGCAGCATCTCCGTGGCACTTTGGACATGATCTCTCTTTGGTGATTTGGATTTATGGGGTTTTTTGCCATCCCTGTGGGTGTTTTAAGGCAGAGGATGTGTCCACAAGTGTGGAGCAATTGGGGCCCAGAAGATTCTCAGGGATCTCCGTCTCACCTGGGGCAGCTCCTGGGTGATGCCCAGAGGCAGGAAACATTCCCAGGTGCCCCAAGGTGCCTCTGACCCTTCCTGGGCACCTGGGTCACCCCTACAGCTGCTGGGGTGCCTTGGCTGAGCCCTGGGGCTGCAGGGCCGTGTCCTTCCCACCTCAGCTTCCCTCTCCTCTCCCCCTTCCCCTTCCTCTCCCTCTGCTCGTGTCCAGCCTGGCTGCTCCCAGGGCGTGGCACTGTTTGGGGTGACACTGTGCCCAGGGGCTTTGTGCTGAGAGTGGAGCCAGCCCTGCTGATGGGAGCTTTTCCAGACACACCTGCCCGTGGCCAGACACTGGGATTTTGCAGGGCTGGCTGAGGGCATTTGCTGCCAAATTGCAGATCCTCAGGAATACGAAGGGAGGGGAGAGTGGGCTGGCAGGGAATGTAGGACAGATGCCAGACGTGTAAAGAGGGCAGTCTGCTTTTTCCTGGCTTCATCCCAGAAATCCCTGAATTCCTAAAACACCTGCAGGTGCTGAAAATAGGGAGATTTTTTGCTGGCACTTTTCAAGCCAATGGCTGCAGCTTGGGGAAGGTGCAAGACTTTATTTTCCAGGAGACATCAGACAGAGCTGGCACGGGCACCTTCAGAGGTGCTTCCAGAACCCTGGGATGCTCTTGCTGCTTCGGGGGGAGAGTGGAACCTCACTTCACCTTGGCAGCCACAGGAACTACCTGGAGGGTACAAGAAACCTTTTGGGTTTCCTTGGGGGTTACAGAATCCCAGAATCCCAGAATGGATTTGGTTGGGAGGGATCTTAAAACCCATCCAGTGCCACCTCTGCCATTGCAGGGACACCTGCCACTGTCCCAGGCTGCTCCCAGCCCTGCCCAGCCTGGCCTTGGGCACTGCCAGGGATCCAGGGGCAGCCACAGCTGCTCTGGGCACCCCAAGCCAGGGCCTGCCCACCTTCCAGGGAGGAATTTCTTCCTGAAAAAAAGGGTTGGTTTGCTGTGACCCCGTTTGGTGTCACAAAGGGGCCCAGGAGGGGTTGGGGACCTGCCCTTGCTCTGGGTGAGTGGCTCATCCTCTGCAGTTGGAGCACTCAGGGGTTTGGCCCCTCTCCAGGGTCTGTGCCATCCTGGTGGCACCACTGGGTGCAGCAGCTCATGCCAGGGCTTTGTCCTTGCCGAGGGGATGTGTGACCCTCAGCCTTTGCCCCCTGTGCCACTCTCTGTCTCCTCTCCTTCCTTCCTTGGGGAGACCAGACAAGGGTTTGCTTTTATTTTTCAGGAATTTTGGCACAGAATCCCAGAATGGGGGAGGTTGGAAGGACCACATGGCTCATCTGGGCACAGGGCACAGGATTGTGTCCAGACTGTTTTGGCATAACTCTAGGGATTATCTGCAGGTTCTTGAATATCTGAAGGGACATTCAAGGGAGGAAGACTCAACCTGAGTGTCTTCCAGGCACCCCATCTCCCTCCAGAGCCCCCCGAGCACCCTCTCCAGGCATGTTGTGGCCTGGAGTGCTGCTCTGCTGTCAGTGGGGTGGTGGCAGGCCCGAGGGCTGTGTGAGAGCTCAGGGGGACCCAGGACCCCCAAAGCCCATCCTGCATGGGGCACTGGGGGGTGGCAGGGTCTGGACCCCCCTGCCTTGGCTTCCCCTCTGCCTCTGGGGCTCCTCGTGGGGACTGTGGTGCTGCAGTCCTTGTGCTTCCAGCCCAGAGGGAGCATTTTCCAACCATGTCCAAGGCTGCTGATCCTGCTCGTGTCTTCTCCCCAACCCTTGGGGAGCTTTAAAACCACCCGTGACAGCAAAATGACTCAAAGGAGCGTTTCTGCCTCCTGCCTCGCCAGGGTTTGCAGGGATTGCAGATGAATTGCTTTGGAAAAACACATTAGCAAAGCAAAAGTTTATTCTAGGAAGTAGGAGGTGGGAGAATTGGCAGTAATTCTCCCTAGTATCCAAGGTATTATTAGAGGCTTATCCCTGCTCTGCACAGTAATCACATTGGAAATTTTTGATTAGAAAACAAAATCTAAATGAGAATTATGAATATTCATTAGGTGTGGAGATTAATATGCATAATTATGCAAATTAGACAGCAATTAAACACCAATTCTCCGGGGAAATGATTAACACAAAGGCACAGAAATAGAAGGATGTAATTTGAAAGAAGTTTCTGGTTAAATGAACAGTGAGGGGAGCGGAGGAGACAAATCTGAGGCATGTTTGCCATAATAATCAGCTTTGCCAAGCGAAATGGGAGTGAGCCCTGACCCCCTGCCCCATGTCCTTGCTGCCCCTCGCTCCCTGCTCCCAAAAGGGCATCCTGGGGCACCTGGAGGTGCCTCCCCATTGGAAGAACCAGCACAGGACAGGTCCCAGAGAGCCACGGGGCCCTGCTGCTGCCCCAGGGTGATGCTGCTGGGAGAGTCTGGTGTCACTGCAGTGTGGCTGTGACTCCTGTGGGGACAGGGGGTGTCCCTGGCTTGGGAAGTGTCCACGACTGGTCCACCCTCACTCTCGGCCTTCTGCAGATCTGGGATTTCTTCTGTCCAGCCCAGCAGAGTCACTGTTTGTGCAGCACCTCAAAAGATGATGGGTGCCCCCACCCTGCCCAGCCCCTCTCACATCCCTGGATTTGCCCCCTTAGAGCACCAACTGCTGCTCCCCAGCCCCTGGTCACCCACTGGAGCAGGAGGTGGAGCAGCACAGTTGGAAATCCTGCAGCTGAGTCAGGTCGAGGCTGTTTTCCAGAAGGTTCCTTCCGTGTGGTTGTGGTATCAGCTGCAACTGTGGGAGCTGTGCTGATGCAACAGCCCAAGGGTTTTGTGTCAGGGTGGACATTCCCAGCTCACTGAAGGGGCTCCAGGAGAGCTGCAGAGGGACTGGGGACAAGGCCTGCAGGGACAGGAGCCAGGGAATGGCTGCCAGTGCCACAGGGCAGGGCTGGATGGGAGATTGGGCAGGAATTGTTCCCTGGCAGGGTGGGCAGGCCCTGGCTTGGGGTGCCCAGAGCAGCTGTGGCTGCCCCTGGATCCCTGGCAGTGCCCAAGGCCAGGCTGGGCAGGGCTGGGAGCAGCCTGGGACAGTGGGAGGTGTCCCTGCCATGGCAGGGCTGGGATGAGCTGAGCGAGGTCCCTTCCAGCCCAAACCATTCCATGGTTCCTGAGTCCCCTGGGTGCAGCCCAGGAGGTGCCGCCTGCATGGACTTGGCAGGGGATGAAAGGAGCTGATCTCCCACTGCAGCCTGGGCAGAAACGTTGCAAAACCTTCTGCCTGCTCCTCTGCTGGACTGGGCTGGATCCCTTGTGCTGAGGATACTCTTGGGAGGGCTGAAGCTGGGGTGGCTGGGTGTGCTCTGATGGCCCCCCTTCCTCAGGGGAACCTTGGGGGGCTGAAGGAGCACCCCTGGACAGGTGACTCTGTAACATTGGACCCCCAGCAATTCCCACCTGAGGATTTCACCTCTGGGCACTCCTTCACTCTGCACAGGTTGAATAGAGTTTGGCCCATGATCTTGCACCACCATGGGCAAAATGCAAGTTCAGCTGGAGCATCCAAATGGATGCAATGTGGTTTTGATTTATAGTTCAATCCCTTTCACTGTCGCTCTCCGGGGGAAGGAGGTTCATGGGTGCTCTCTGGAATAAAGGAGTTAAAATACTGGTTTTTCCTCTTCCCACTGTCCCATGTTTTGAACCATTTCCAGGCTGTGGTGGGATGTGCTTTGAAGTTTGTGGAATAACTCCCAGTGGGAGTGGGAAGGTGAGGAGGCAGAGGGGAGGCTTGGTCACGCCAAGTGGAAGTGGTTTATTAATGAAAATATTGTTTTGTTTGTAGAAGGAAGAGTTAATTTTATGAGAACACCTTTGAGGCTTTGCTGATAAAGCAAAGAGTAACCTTTGTTCTTCCTGTTTTTCGGTAGGCTTGGATGAAAGGCCGGGATCAGGTTCCTGGGGAACGGCAGATCAAAACAGCTCCACGTTTGACCAAGGAAGGGTAAGGACAAAGCACAAACACCAAGCTCCAACCAAAACAAACGGGGTCTTTCCCAGGCCTTGCAGAGCCTTGGGTCTAACCCTGGCACAGCTTTTCTTGCCCCATTTTGGACATGGGTTCTGTGACTCTCTAGGTTTTTCCCCATCCCCATCTCCCCAGGCTTTGCTGCCTTGAGGTCCCCTTGAGGTTTCTCCTCCAAAAACCTCTCCCATATCTGCACTAGGATGGGCTCCTGTGGCTGCTCAGGCATCTCCCTCCCTGCACCGGTGTTGGTGTGGGGAGAGGGGACCCAGGGGGTGGGACAGGTGCCCCAAGGAGACACAGATGGGTGGGTCGAGGGATCTGAGTGGGTTGAGGGATCTCATCTGATGGCAAAGCTTCCTGAGCAACCAGCCCACAAGACTTTGAGAGCCTGAGGAGGGAATCCCTGCAATCCACCACATTGTCTGGCCATGGCACCCTTGGTGGGGATGGAGAACTTGGGAAGGGTTTTGCAGGGAAGGAGTTGAGGCTGCAACACTCATGGCTGGGGTCTGAGGATGGGAAGAGAGAAATGCCACAAACTTCATGGAAACGGTGTAATTTTTGTTTTAATGGGTTTGTGTGATTTGTTTTTGCAATGGTACCTTTCCCTCTCCAATCAGCGGCAGAGCTGGGGCTGTTATGTCAACTCTCATTTGTATATTTAGAATTTATATATGTATATAAATATATCTAAAAATATGTATTTATATTTATATTTATCCAACCTTTTTCTTGCCCCTTCACCCCCCTGGTTCAGGGAGGGGCTGTGTGGCTCTTACCTGGTGGGTGCCAAAGAGCTGCCAGCAAGGGACAAAGCAGGTTCCATGTCCCTTCTTGCCATGTCCCCAGGTGCCATGTTGCCTCCCAACACCACGGCCTCTGCACTGCCCAGCTCCCCTTGGCATGGGGATAAAATCCTTTCCATGCCCTTTTCACAAGGAGCCTTTGGCTTTGCCTCTTCCTGGGGGAGGCTGGGCCCTGGCAGCCTCGTGCTTTGTCCCCACGCTGTGGTGACTGTCCCCTGTTGTCCCAGCAGAGCTATGGTGAAGGCCCCCACTACGGTGAGCACCGGGACCTGCCATCCCACAACAGCATCTCCTCGTCACCGTTCCTGGGAGCTGGACTCGTGGGTGAGTGCTGCAGCTGCCAGGTCCCCAGGCCAGGGGACACGTGGTGGGGGAGTGTTGGGACAGCCTTGCTGCTCCCTGTGCTGGACCTGCTCCGGGTGTTCTCCGAGCTGTGGGCCAGGGGGGTACCCAGAGGATTCCGTCAGTGCCAGCTGTGCCAGCTGTTCTGTGTGTGTGGTTGTGTTTCCCTGCTTCTTACCCTGAGGGAGTAGCAGAGTCCCCCAGGATGGGCTGAGTGTGCTCCTGGGAGCTGGGAATTAGGGGTGGGAGAGATGCTTATTGTAAAGGATTTATTAAGACTTGGGATGACCCTGCTTGAGTGGGGAGGTGGCACCAGGTGATCCCACCGTGGTCACTTCCAACCAGACCCACTGGGTGACTGTGACGTGCAAGGGGCTGGGGGCTATGTCACTTCCCAGAGAGCTGCTGGTGCTACCTTTGCTGCAGGGGGGTTTGGAGGAGCCTCTTCCCATATCCTGCCAGGCTCCAGCAGCCTTGTCTGGCCCCTCCAGCCCCAGCTCCAGGCAGGCAGCGTGGGGAGCTCAGGGGATGGTGATCCCGCATGGCCGGATGCGTGTGACCATTCACCCAGTCACCTCTCCCAGCTCAGGCTGGGAGGAGAGATTAAGAGCAGAAAATATCCCTCCTGCAGGGCTTAGAGAGCTCTAATGGCATTAGGTCAGGAATTGGGGTTAGTCCTCCCCATCTTTGCCCATGCAGGGGTGGTTAAAATGCTCCAGCACATGTGGAAGGAGCAGGGCCAGGGCAGGGCTTGCCCATGGTTGGAAGGCAGGGGTAAAAAGGGAATCAATCGTGTTTGAAACAGAAAATCCCCCCTGTGGATGTGGTGGCAAAGGGGAAGAGCAGAGCAGGGTTGTGCTGGGACAGGGCAGCCACACGTTGGCCCCTCCTGGCCTGGGGCAGGGCTTGGGGCTCGCTGTGAGCTCTGCTTCCCCCTTTCACCCTTGTGCTGTTGGGGACAATGTTTGGGTGTCCCTCGGGGATCTCTGCAGGGAGAGGAGCCCTCCTGAGCAGCTCCCCCTGTCCCTCTGCAAGGGAGGATCTTCCCTGTCCCTCTCTGGCCCAGGAGGAGAGTGGAGCACAGAGAAGTTTTGGGGTAGGACAGGGGAGCCTTGCTGCAGCTCAGCGGGGCTTGGGGGGATGTGCGTGGGGGAACCCATCCCAGCCCATCCCACACCTGGGGCCAAGGCAGCCCGGAGAGTTTCCAGCTGAGGAGGAGCTGCCCGGGAGGAGCAGGAGGTTTCCCCTTTGATGTGTGCGGGGAAGCCGCCTTTGGCTGCCTGCCAGAGCTGGCTCTCCCTCCAGCCCGGGCACTTCCAGCTCCTGGGGCTCCCGGGGACTTCAGTGGGGCCCAGGGACAGCAGGACTGTGGCCACGCTCTGGCCCCAGGCTCAGGGGCTGTGACTCCCCAGGGGGGTCAGGGGCAACACCAGGAGCTCCACCAGGGAACAGGCAGGGGGGAAGGGTTCCTCACGTTTCCAACTCCCTTTTGTTTCTAAAATTGAACGTGGTTAAAGTAGAAAGCATCGATTCTGGGAGCAGGTTCCAAAATAGATAAATCACTTTTCATTGTAGAATCAAAGAATCACAGAGTGCTTTGGGTGGGAAGGGACCTCAAAGCCCAACCAGTGCCACCCCTGCCATGGCAGGGACACCTCCCACTGTCCCAGGCTGCTCCCAGCCCTGTCCAGCCTGGCCTTGGGCACTGCCAGGGATCCAGGGGCAGCCACAGCTGCTCTGGGCACCCCAAGCCAGGGCCTGCCCACCCTCAGAGCCAGCAATTTCATCCCAATATCCAATCTAAACCTACTCTTTGCTCATGTGCTGGGAGGGGAGGACATGGGGAAGAGCAGGGGTGGGATTTTCTCTTCCTCTTTTCCAAGCTGCTTCTGAAAACTTAGAGTGGCAAAAATGCAAAGGGATAAAGGAGAGGGCAGGCAGGAAAATAAAACAATGCTTCTGTAAAAGCAGGGGGAAAATGGGAGAGAAAAGGGAGTTTTGGCAGTGTGTCCCCCTGTCTGCCAGGTGGTGGTTGCCAGCAAGGTGCCCCTCAGGGAGGGAAGTTCATGTTAATGGGGTGGCTGAGTGGAACCAAGGAATTTCAAAATCTGAGGAGGTGGAGGGAGCAGATGAGGATGAACATGTTGTGGTTGTTGATGGATGAAAGGTGTGTGAAACATCTAAGCCCTTCTCCAAGATTAGAATTTTTATCTCTTTCCCACTCAACCTCTATTTCTTCAAGGAGGATCAGGAACTGTGGGAAGAACCATTTTGGGAGCAGCCTGGATGCTCTCTGCTGGCAATGGTGGGTTGGGCCAGTAGAGAGGGAGGCTGAGCTGCAAGGGCCCCCCAAAGTCAGTGCTGGGGCTCTGAGCAGTCAGGGTGGTGATGGCTCCTCCTGGCACCCCCATCCTTTGGATTTTGTGTTCCTGAAGCCCATGCACGTCCCAGGGCCAGGCTACAGCCCCCTGTCCTCTGAGGATGGGCTTTAGGAACAGGGAGCACCTTTCCCCAGCAAAGGGACACTGCAGCAGGCAGCACTTGTTGGAGAAATTGAGCAAGTGGTGATTTCTTGCCTCAATTTTCCACATGGAAAAGGAGGCTGTGCTCTGATCAGTGTTTGGTGGGTTGAGGAGCTCCTGCCAGCCTGAGCTTTGGAGCAGTGATCACATCCCTTCCAGGGTGGAGCCTTCCCCTGTCCCTGCAGGCTGGTGGCATTTTGGGGCCCTGGAGATCCCGAGGGGGATCCCAGGTGCAGCCAGTGCTCACCCTCCTACACAGGTCCTGTCACCACTCAGACTGATCTGACAGGAGCAGAGGAAACTGGGGAGCTGCAGGGTGGAGTGGCCCTTTGGGTAGGGGAGCAGTGGAATGTGTCCAGCCAGATTTCTGCCCAGTGTGTCTGTGCTGGGAGCTGGTGACACAAACTCCATGAGCAGCAAACTCCGTGGGGTAGGCAGGGCTGGAGGGATCTGCCTGGCCCAGGAGAGGAGGAAAGCAGGTCTCAGTTTGAGGGAGCAGGACACTGCCAGCACATCCCTGAACCCCCTGCAGGCTGCATCCCTGCCCTTTGTTCCTGTCCTGGTTGGGCTCTTGGGTGTCACCCTAGCCCAAGCCCTCTTCCCCTGCCCAGGGTCCCCATCCCCAGCCTGAGTCCCCTCCCAGGGACAGTGAGGAAGGGGCTGCTCAGCCCCTGGGGTGGAGCTGGGGGAGTACAAAGCTCTGATTTAATCCCTGTTGTTCCCTGCAGTGGCCCCAGGGAGGGACAGCCACTGCCCCTCAGCCCAGTCCTGCCCATTCTTGGGGTGGTGACCTTGTGGATCACAGGGTGCACACCTGATCCAAAAGCAGTTTGAAAGGAAAAGCACTGATTGCTGTTCAGCTGTTGAGTTTGAGCTCATGGATGTTCTTTGGATGAATATGGGGCACGATGGGAGCTTGGCTTTAGGGGGCACCTTCAGCACAAAGCCAAGAGGGGCTGCACTGACACAGCACCTGGGGGAGATGCTTCCCCCAGCCAGGGCTCCCACAGGGCTCCCTGCTCCCATGAAAGACACACTGTGGGGGAATCTTCAGTTACTTCCCTCAGCCACAGCTTCAGCTCCACGGGTGATGGGGAAAATCAGAGCCCCTCAGGACAGACTGGGCAGGGGCCTCTGGGCTGTGTTGCACTGGTTGGAATTACCTAAATTTGTCAAAAGAATAAGTAAATAAATTAGAAAGTGCCCAAGGGAGGGACACGGAGCTGGGGAAGGCTCTGAGGAGCGGCTGAGGGCCCTTGGCTCGTTCAGCTGGAGCACAGGAGACTGAGGGGAGGCTCCTGGGGGCTGCAGCTCCTGCCCAGGGCAGGCAGAGGGGCAGGGGCTGGGCTCTGCTCTGGGACAGGGCCAGGAGCCCAGGAAGGGCTGGAGCTGTGGCAGGGCTTGGCATGGAGCTCAGGGCAAGGCTGCTGCCCCCGAGGGTGCTGGCACTGCCCAGGCTGCCCAGGGAATGGTCCCGGCCCCAAGGCTGCCAGAGCTCCAGGAGCGTTTGGACAGCGCTGCCAGGGCTGCTCAGGGTGGGGCTGTTGGGGTGGCTGTGCAGGGCCAGGGGCTGCCCTGAGCATCCCTGGGGGTCCCTTCCCACTCAGGATAGTCCAGGATTCCATGATTCTAAACCCCTGAATGGAAACACCATCAGTGCTCTGAATGAGAAGCATCCCAGGCTGCTGGCTGGGGGCTTTGAACCAGGTGAGCAGGTGCAGACCCCATGGCTGAGCCCTCCATTGCTCCCTCCTCCAAGTTTCCCAGCTTTGAGCTTTTGCTGCTGCTGGAGGACAGGGAACCTCCTGGAGGGTTCTGAGCTTCCCTGCCTGGGGTGGGGAGGGGTGACAGGAGCATCCCTGGCTGTCCCGGGTCAGTGCCAGGACAGCACACAGTGACAAACCAGCTGGGCTGGTCCCAGAGGATGAGGAGGGTGAGGAGGGCTTTTCTAAGTCACCAACTTCACAATTTGCCATTCATCTTCAGCAGGGACAGGCGGGGAGTGGGGTGGTTAAACAGCAAGGAAACTGATAAGCCATAACAGATTTCTTTCTAGTAATTATTCCTAGTAATTAGCTGCCTTTCAGAGCAGTGTTCCTAATCGGGTGGGTATTGTCAGTGCCTGTAGATTGGGGTCTTCCTGGACAATGGGTTTAATCAGGGGGTGGTCGCTGCTCCTGGTTTTTTAACTTCTTTTTTTCCTCCCCGTTTTTAATCCCTGGCTGTGTTTCGCCTCCCCTGTTCCCCCAGGCCAGAACTCTAATGGAATTCGAATGGAATTAGCAGTGTGGGGCTGGGGGAGGTGCATGGTGGGTGGTGGCTGTGCTGGGGCTGGGGTGATGTGGGGGCACTGGTTCTGCCAGTGGGTGCTGGAAAAACTTGCAGGCAGCATTTAAATGTTTTTTCTTGGCCTGTCAAGTGCAGGGCCAGGAGTTGGACTTCGATGATCTCTGTGGATCCCTTCCAACTCAGGCTGTTCTGTGATTCTGTGGTCTGTGAGAGAAATGGCAAACCCATGATTTATTATTATTTAAAAGCAGTTTGCTCCAGTGGAGGTGAGATGCTGCCATGATCCAGGGTGCCAAAGCCAATCTGTGACACTGCCAGAGTGGGTGAGAACCTCTGGGAAGAGCAGTTTATATTTTTCTGCCTTGTCTCCAAGCTCAGAAGCAGATGTGCACTTGGGAGGAGCGGCACAAACGGCGTGGGGGCTTCCTCTGGAAAAGCCCTGGGTGAAGGCAGGGCTGGGGAGGCTTCCCAGAGCCCCACACAGCCAGATCCTGCAAGAGGGAACATGCTGGGGAGGAGAGAGGCTGGGAAAGGCTCCTTAGGCAGGGCTGGAGGCAGCACAGGCAGATGGGGGGCAGGAGAAGGAGCTGGCAGGGGGAAAGACAGGAGGGGGGTGCCAGGAGGATCTGGAAATGCTGAATGCCCTCAGCCAGTGTCTGGGTGCACTGACTTGAGGTGCCTCCATTGTGCTTCACCTCCTTTCCAAAGGAAACCCTTTTCCTCTTTGAGGGCTTTATTCCCACATCTTCTCCTCCTCCTCCCACAAGATCCCTTCACGTCCATCTGCAGGATTTCAGGAATTCTGCTGGGAGCAAGGTGGGGTTTGGGGAGATTCCTGGTGGGTTTTCCCCAAGTTACTGAGACTTGCCTCCATCCTGGTCCTTGCCTCCTGCCTGGGCCTTGGCCACCTTTCCTGGTTGGAGTCCTGGGCTCTGGCTACCAAGGGTGACAGGGTGGGTCTGGGCTTGCCACCTGTGCCATCTGCATGCCCTTGTGCTGCAGAAACAGCTCCTTCTGCTGGCAAGGTCAGCCTTTGCTTGCCCAGCTTGCACACCTTATGAATCCAGCAGGCTTAGGTACATTCCAGCCCAGAAAGGTGCTTCTTCCTTCGGCCGTTTTCATAGACATTTAAATGTAAAATCCCTTCTGCTGAGTTTTTTACTGCTTTTTTCCCTTGTTATGTGATGATGGAGGGTGCAGGAGCAGGGGCTGGCCAGGGCTGCCCTCTCTTTCCCAATGTCTCCCATCCCATGGGGCACCCACAGACCCAAGGGTGCAGCAAGTGCTGAATGAGGAATGAGAGACATCAGAGAAGGTTGTGGGTTTGGAGCAGTGCAGAGCTGCCACTGGGTTCCAGAATCCTGGAATATCCTGAGCTGGAAGGGACCCTCAGGGATGCTCAGGGCAGCCCCTGGCCCTGCACAGCCACCCCAACAGCCCCACCCTGAGCAGCCCTGGCAGCGCTGTCCAAACGCTCCTGGAGCTCTGGCAGCCTTGGGGCCGGGACCATTCCCTGGGCAGCCTGGGCAGTGCCAGCACCCTCGGGGGCAAGAGCCTTGCCCTGAGCTCCATGCCAAGCCCTGCCACAGCTCAAGGAGCCTCCCCTCAGCCTCCTGTGCTCCAGCTGAACGAGCCAAGGGCCCTCAGCCGCTCCTCAGAGCCTTCCCCAGCTCCGTGTCCCTCCTCTGGGCACTCTCCAACAGCTTTGGATCCTTCTGATCTCATGGTGCCCAAAGTGCCCCAGCCCTGGAGGTGAGGCTGCCCCAGTGCAGAGCAGAGTGGGACAGTCCCTCCCTGGGCCTGGTGTCCCCAGGACAGGGTGGCCCTTTGGGCTGCCAGGGCCCAGCGGTGACTCAGATCCAACTTGCCCCTGACCAGGACCCTCAGGGCCCTTCCCAGGGCGCTGCTCTCCAGCCTCTCACTCCCAGTCTGTCCCTGCACCCACGGCTGCCCCATCCCTGGGCAGGATCTGACACTTGCCCTGTTAAACTTCACATGGTTGGGGATTGCCCAGTGTGTCTTCACCTTACCCACACACGTCCAGGAGCCCCCTGGCTCTGCCCAAGTTCTCTGGTGATGGCAGAGACTGCTGGATGAGCTTTAGGGTCCCTTCCAACCCAAACCATTCTGTGACTCTGATTCCCCACTGCAGTCACACATGGAAGCTGCAGTGTGTTATCAGATGGGAGACCTGGCTGCTGCTGTCCAGCCATCCCCCCCAGCATTACCCTGCTTTTCCTCTGCTTTAGGAGTAATCAGAACCTGCCTGATGCCACAACCTGCTGTGTCCTTTGTGCCCTGCCTGGTGCTGCGGTGGATCGAGCTCTTAAGCTCTTTTAGAAATTAGGTCATTTAGGAGATCCATCCTCTGACATTCTGACCTTTGTTTACTTAACGTTTAAGCCTCTGAAAGGAAATGGCAGCAGCACCAGGGGCCCCCGGCTGTGCCTGCATGGAGGGAGGGGGAGGCTGAGCCATGCCAGGACCTTCCCAGCAGGAATGGGGGTCTGGGGCTTGGGGGTCATCGTGGGGGAATCCACTCTAAAATTTCTGGGTCGAGTTCATGACCTCCATGGTAAGGCTCCAAAATGAGCAGCCTCCTCTCTCTTCCCATCTGGCACATGAATCATGGAATCCTGCAATATCCTGAGCTGGAAGGGACCCACAGGTTGATGAGTCCAGCCCCTGTCCAGGGGGTCCAGCTGTGGCTGCCCCTGGATCCCTGGAAGTGCCCAAGGCCAGGCTGGACAGGGCTTGCAGGAACATGGGATAGTGGAAGGTGTCCCTGTCCATGGCAGGGGCTTTAAGATCCCTTTCAGCCCAAACCATTCTGGATTCTCTGGTCTCTGGGCCCTGTCCTTCATGGGGGATGGTTTGAGGCATTTTGCTTCCCCTCCCCTCTTCATCTGCTCTCAGTGCTGTGGGGAGGGTCCTGCCAGCCCCAGTGTGGCCCCAAGTGCATTAACCTGCATCTTAGTGGCCTTGGGGCTGGCTTTGGGCTAAGCAGATTGGCAAAATCCCACTCCTCCCAATTTTGCTCACTAAGCCAGACCAGAGGCAGGATGTGATCTGTGATCCCCTTTTCGGGAAGGGTTTGGGGGTGGGGGCTGGTGGAGGGCCTGTTGCCCACTAGAAGAGTTTCTGGTTTTGCTTTGGAGGGATGGAGGGAATCCCAAAGGACACTGTTGTGCCTCCAGCTGCTGCAGGCAAGGCACAGAACCATTCCCTTCCTCCCTTCCTTGTGTCCTTTGCTGCCCTGGCACTCCTGGGCGCTGCTGGCTGGGGCCATACTGTGTCCAGGGCAGTGACCATGAGGCAGGAGAGTGCCAGGATGTTTTGGAGAGGGAACATCCCAGCAGGTATCTGGGCTCCTTTTTTTTTGGCCCTTCAGAATTTTATTTTCAGCTGAATGTGTGCAGGGTGAGGTGGTTGTGAGAGAAGCCCTCATTGATCCTGAGTGCCAGGGCAAGGCAGAATGGCTTCCAGTGCCAGGGGGCAGGGCTGGATGGGATATTGGGAATTAGGAATTGTTGCCTGGCAGGGTGGGCAGGCCCTAGCCCAGGGTGCCCAGAGCAGCTGTGGCTGCCCCTGGATCCCTGGCAGTGCCCAAGGCCAGGCTGGACAGGGCTGGGAGCAGCCTGGGACAGTGGGAGGTGTCCCTGCCATGGCAGAGGTGGCACTGGATGGGCTTTATGGTCCTTTCCAACCCAGATCCTTCTGGGAATCTGTAACTTCACAGCGGCACATGAGCACTGCTGGCATGGGGCTGTCCCCACACAGATCCCAGCTGGCTGTGAGGAGCCACAGGATTTGGGAAGTTGAACCTCCCCCAGGAGAGGGGCAGAAGGTGCCCAGTGCCCTGTGCAGGGCAGGAGCTCAGCTCTTGTTTGCTGGGATTGCATTTCCTGTTGTCTGGAAAGCACCCCGGGGTCTGTGCCTTGTCCTGGCCCTTGGTCTGCTCCAGCCCTGCCCTGCCAGCCCAGCTGGCTCTCGGTGTCTGCAGGGACCTTTTGGCTTGGGGCTGACACTGCCACTTTTCATGGCCACCAACACTTCCCTGTGCCACTGCAGCTCCGGCCTTTTGGTGCTTTTGGACCTGCTTTCTGTGAGCTTAAAGCAGCTCCTGCTTGAGCACAAGCTTGTCAAGCTGTTCCTCATGGGAGGGCAGGGTGAGCTGCCTCACAGGAGCAGGATTTGTCCCTTGGCAGGATCCAGGTGCCTGGGGGCAAAAAAACCCCTCCACTTCCCTCTTACCCCAAACCTTGTCTTTTCTTCTTCTGCAGGGAAGAGCAGTGAAAGAGCCTCATACTCCACGTTTGGAAGAGACACAGGGATGCCAGGACTAAACCAGGTAATGATATAATGCAGTGAGATTTTCTGCTTCATTTAGTGGCTCCCGAGAGCAGGAGTCTGGTAATGAAAACCAGCCTGGATTTACATCTCATCTTCATGCACTGGGTCCTGGGAAGCCTCTGCTCTGCTCCAAAACCTCTGTGGAGTGTTGGGGGTTCATACTGGTGTGTGCTGCTGGCTCAGAGGAGTTGTCAGAGGTTAGAAGATGTTGGTTGTAGCAGCCTCTCACTTCTTTCCCAGTCTTCTTCAGCCTCGCTCATTTTGTTATTGTTTCTCCTGGTTTGTATTTGATCAGCCATGACCCAGGCACGCTGCCTTGCTGGGGAGTTCCAGGGAATCAGATCCAAGCAGCACCTTTCCCTGTGCCAGGCTGGCTTGGGCAGGGGAGCATTCCAGGAGGCTCCTTCCCCCTCCCCTGCCTGTCCTGGCCTTTCCCTCTCCCTCCTCAGCAGCATCTCCCAGCTCCCTGGCCAGTGTCCAGTGTCCCAGTTGTGGTCTCTGAGGTGTTTTCTGTGCTGCTGCAGCATCATTTCAGTGACTGTCAGGTGGAGCTGTAGTTTTATGGTGGGGCTGTTGGTGCAGGACCTGCAGCAGGAGCTCTGCCCAGCCCTGGGGCAGCACCAGGACATGGAGCTGCTGCAGCCAGGCCAGAGGAGGCCACAGAGATGCTGCCAGGGCTGGAGCCCCTCTGCTCTGAGCCAGGCTGGCAGAGCTGGGGCTGCTCCCCTGGACAAGAGAAGGCTCCAGGCAGAGCTCAGAGCCCCTGGCAGGGCCTGAAGGGGCTCCAGGAGAGCTGCAGAGGGACTGGGGACAAGGCCTGCAGGGACAGGAGCCAGGGAATGGCTCCCAGTGCCACAGGGCAGGGCTGGATGGGAGATTGGGCAGGAATTGCTCCCTGGGAGGGTGGGCAGGCCCTGGCTTGGGGTGCCCAGAGCAGCTGTGGCTGCCCCTGGATCCCTGGCAGTGCCCAAGGCCAGGCTGGGCAGGGCTGGGAGCAGCCTGGGCCAGTGGGAGGTGTCCCTGCCATGGCAGGGGTGGCACTGGATGGGCTTTGAGGTCTCTCCCAACACACATCCTTCTGGCATTCCATGATCTCCACCATCCTGGAAGGGACCAGAGCCACCTCTTGCAGACACAGCCCAGCCCTGTTGGGTCACCCCGTGTGAACCCCTGGGCTCTGCTGGGGGGAGCAGCTTTGCTTCCTGTGGGGAATACCAGAGGTGTCAATCTGGGCCCAGAACACAGCAGAGCAGCCCTGAGATAACCTCCCCTGCTGCCAGCAACATCCAGAAATAGTTTTTTGGGAAGGAGTGAGCAGCTCCCTTTGATGTGTGGCTCCAAGTGCCCCCTCGGTGCCCAGTGTGGCCCTGGGGAAACAGTCCCAGCATTGGAGCCAAGGGAGGAGCTTTTGGCCGGACAGCTTTTATTTTATCCATGTACACACACACATATTACATGTTTTAATTTTACACAAATTTGTCATAATTTCCTCCTCTCTGAAGTGAGGATGTTTCCTTTGCTGGAGCAGCTGTGCTGGCTGTGCCAGAGTGAATTTCATTTACCACTGAAGCTGCTCAAAGAAAACCGGGCCCAGTGCCAAGTGTTGCTTTTGGATGTGATGCTTTTGCTGGGCTTTCGTGGAGGAGGGGGAATATAAGGTAACAGAAATGGGGGGGCAAATGGTCGGGAGAGGCCCCGGGAGAGGCAGGCACAGGGCTCAGGATCGGGTGGCAAATCCCACTTGATGTGGAGAGGAGACAAAACCCCCTTGTGGGGGGTGGGGGGAGGCCAGAGGAGCCTCTGTGGCCCCCAGAGCAGTTGTTGCTTCTGGCTCCAGTTTGGGGGAGTGAGGGGGGTTGACTTTTTTGGGTTTTTTTGTTTTTCGTTTGTTTTTTGTTTGGTTTTTTTAAACTAAAAATTGTCTGGTGGAAATGCCCTGGATGGGGATCAGGTTCTTGCCCAAAAATGCCCTGCTCTGGTAGGGTAGAGCTGGCAGGGCATTTCCCCCTTGTTTAACCCTGAACCATCTCCTGGGGCATCCCCAAGGAGAGGAAACAGGAAGAAAACCCCTTTCTTTGGGAAATTGCCTCAAAGTCCCAATGTGTCTCCTGCCTGCAGGAGGAGCAGGGCAGCAGCTCCCAGGATCCCTCCGGGTGCTTTCCTTGGCTGAGCACAGAGTGGGTCCAGAGCAGAGGAAACCTGAGCAGTGGAACAGATTGCAGGAATGTCACCAGCTGTGAACACACGAGCTCCTCTTTCCCTCCCTGACCCCTTTCTGGAGGAGACAGAGTTTGAAAGCAAAGGTTTTTCTTTCCAGTTTCTCAAAAGCCTGAAATCCTCCTTTATTTCCATGTGTTGCCCTCAGAGGATGGGTCAAAGCTGAGCTTTTGGGACTTTGGCAGCCCTGTGCAATTTGATGTAAATACACTGCACTTCCTCCCGAGGTGAGAGGGGCAGTGCTGGAGGAGAGGCTCTGTCCCAGGAGGGAGCACCCTGGGCTCTGGCTCTGCTGCTTCCCAGCGTGCCCAAGGTCAGCCGGGATAAACAGAGGGAGGAGTTTCCTGGCTTTACAAAGAGGCATTTGGCTTTTCCCTGATAAAACTCAGGAGAAAACCACCCTGAGCAGTGGCAGCACAGCTCCAGGGCACTGGCCACGACATGGGCTGGCGATGTGGGGCTCATGCTGTCCTGGACATCAAGGTGAGCATGGGACTGTGCTGGTCCTACCATGACACCTGCAAGGTGACCGTGGGACCACAGTGTCCCCCACCATGGCACCTACAAGGTGACTGTAGGACCACATTGTCCCCCACCATGGCACCTGCTGGTTTGCATCCCTGGTTTGCAGAGGTTTCTTGCTGGGGTCCAGCAGGAAAGCACAAGCTGAAAGCCTCTTTTGTTCCTCCACACCTATTCCCCCACCTCCACCCCCATATTTACGGATTTGCTTTCCCTCCTGGCCCCTTGGCTCGTGTTTATTTTTCCCCTCAGCTGAATTGGTGTGAAGGTGGCTCAAAGCAGCTCTGTTCTCTCCCAGCGAGTCGTTTTGCAGTGTAATTCCATGGAAGGGCTTTTCTCTCTCCTTGTTTGCAGCCTGGTTTCCTGCCCAGCGAGATGGGAATCGCCAGCCCGAGCACGCTTTCCCCCACCGGGGGCAAAGGGGGGTCTCAGTATTTTTCTTACCCCAACAATCCTCGCAGGAGAGGTGCAGAGAGCAGCATAGGTGAGTGACTGCGTGTCCCCCGGGTGCCACCGTGCACCTGGGCAGGTGTCCTTGTCAGACCTGCCTTTGGGAATGAGGACGTTGATGCTGGGAATGAGGGACTGATGTTGCCATGTGTGCCCCTGGCATGAATCTGGTGTTTGCTCTTTTAGGGGAGGGAATGCATGTAAATATCTCTTCTATATACAGAGAGAGAGATCTAACCTCAAAAAAGGGGTGCTCAGAGTCAGGTACAATTTCCCTCTTTCTGGAGAATGCCAGATTAGCTGAAAGCAGCAAATGGCTCGAGGTTCTTGTAAAAACACCTCCAGCCACACTGCACATCACTCGTCCTTCCTGGCAAGCCCTGGGCTGCCAAGGAGGCTGTTCCTGTGGCTGATGGCTCCTGGAGCTGCAGCAGGCACGAGTGGCAGGAGCAGGGTGTAGGAGGCAGCAGGAGGTGCTGGAGCTGTGCCTGGGACCCAGGGAATGTTTGCTCCAGGAGCTCTCCCTGCCTGCTCTGCTGTACCCAAGCAGGGCTTGCCCGTGTCTGGATGGAGCTGAGCATAAGCTTTTACCAAAGGCTGGGGTCAGGTGTGAGTTTAACTTCAGAGGGAACACAAGCTCCAGTTCCCCAGAACTTGTGTTTCTCGTCACAGTTCCCCCTGCACCCTCCAGAGCCACTTTCCTGCTGCTATTTTGGGCTTTCCCCAACGAGTGAAACCAGAAGTGACCCAGTGCATTGGGTGCATTTTTCAGTGCTTTTCAGAAAAAGGCACCTACTCTGGTGCTGCCACTTCAGCCTGGAAAATGATTATCTAGCATTCTGTGGGATGAATTTCTGCTCTGGAGGTACATCCAAGCAGAGTCCCTGGCTTGTCAGGTTGCTGTGTTAGCACCCTGCACCCCCAGCCAGGCTTTCCTTAATTATGATTTTTTTTAATTTATGAAAAATAATTAAAAATAATTATGGAAAGAGAATTCTAAAATAATAATTATGAAAAATAGAATTTTTTTAAAATTAGCCAGTGCTTTCCCTTGAGGCACTTCTGGATATTTCCCCACACCTCCCTGAACTGTCCCCTGTGCCCCTCCAGAGCTGGAACTGGAGGGATGGGCTGGGGTCTGTCCCTGGGAAGCACATCCCTGCCTCCTGCAGCAGTAAAGGTTTCTCAGGTCTGTTCCTGTGTAGGAAGCAAATTCAAACACAGCCCAGCCCTGCATGTGTTCCTTTTCTGCATCCTCTCTCCACAAGCCCACTTCAGGTTAAAAGTGTTTCAAAAAAAAAATCCCAATGAGGGGTTATAACATTAAATGTTATTACATGTATGGGCTCAGTCTCTCCCAACAAACCCTTCCTGTCCTGGGATCTCTGTGTGGGTGTGAAACCTGCCCCCAAAGGGAGTAGACAAGATTTGGAGAGTCTCGTCCTTGGACATTTTCACTGCTGATGCTTCCTCAGCCACAGGACATTTGGGATCTCAGCCCTGTCTCTGCCTGCAGTTTGCAACCCTGGACACTTTTGCTGCAGCTCATTTCCCCTCCCTCTAACCCCTCGAAAACTGAGATCCTCTCTTGTCTGATGCAGATGGACAGCCCAAAAAGGTTCGGAAGGTGCCTCCTGGACTCCCCTCCTCGGTAAGTGGCAGCAGGGGGTTCCCATTGGTGCCCTGGGAGCCATCCCTGCTCCCTGAGCCCCAAAACCGCTGGCACCTGCAACCCCAGACTGGCCAACAGTGGGGTGCCAACGTCAGCATTTGCAAACTTCAGGATTTCTCCCAAATCAAAGCTGCCAGCAGACAGGACCTGCCTGCTGTTGGAGCCCGAGATGTCCCCTCTGAGCTGATAGCCAGACCCTGGGGAAATAATTTATTTCTCCCTTGGAAAATGACCTCAGTTTGCGGCCACTCGCACTGCCCGACACTGGGGTGCCAGCCTAAAAATCCACAAACTTCACAGGATTTCTCCCAACCTAAAGCTGCCAGCGACAAGAACCCTGCGCTGCTGGGATCCTAGCGGGATGGGGAAGGGAATTCCCGTGCGGGGAGGCGGTGGGAGCTCCGGGAAGGAGCCGAGCCCGCAGCCCGTGCCGGGTCCGGCTGCAAGGCGACACCGCGGGCTCGGGTTTCGCCCCCGCGCTGGGGCAGCAGCTGAGCCCGCTCCAGGTGTGCGCTGCTTTACAGGAAAGCTGAGCAGCCTGCAGGAATACACCAGCCCTGCTCCCGCGGCTGTTCGGGGGAATGAGCTGAACAATGTCTTTGTGGCTGCGGGTAATGGGATCTGCAGGAAAGCTAATTGGAGCGGGCTGCGGGGCTCCTGCAGGAGCACGGGAGCAGTCTGGGGCCGGGGCTGCATTCCTGGCTGGAATGTTTGCGTGCTTGGGGGGGACGGCTCGGTCTCATTGGGCTCTGTCCCCAGCCCGGGGCTGTGCTGGAGACTTGCCCTCAGTCTCTGCCAAAGCCGGTGTGACACTGCCCCATTCCCCAGGGAACACCCCCATCCCTGGGGAAATCCGGGCTGTGGCATTCCCTGACTGCTGGTGCACAGCTGTACCTGCACCACAGGCTCTGCCTTTGGGATTGGACCTGAGGATAGAGGGAGGGGAGGGCACCGAGGCCTTGCCAGGCTGGGCTCACAGACCTGGGAGTGTTAGAGGGTCCGTGTGAATCCACATGAGGCAGAAACCAGCTCCAAGAGTGTGTGTTTTGACAGGGAAAACCTGCTTGAGTCACAATCCGTGTCGCTGCCTCGAGTTTCTGTGGGAAATTTGGAGCTTTAAACCCCAGTCGACATGTGGGGAAAACATCGCCCCAACAAATGGCCTTTATTGGCCTCAAATTTCAAAGTGCTGGGGTTTGGCCCATCCTGCTGGCAGAGCCCTGGAGGACCCTGATTCCCACAGGAAGAGCTGCTTGGCCTTTGCTCCAGCTCAGCCCCTGTGTCGGAGTGACACCTGCACTCCAGCCTTCCATAGGATCATGGAATGGCTTGGGTTGGCAGGGACATTAAAGCCCATCCAGTGCCACCTCTGCCATGGCCAGGGGCACCCAGGGTATTCAAAGCCCCATCCAGCCTGGCCTTGGGCACTGCCAGGGATCCAGGGACAGCCAGGGCTGCTCTGGGCACCCTGTGCCAGGAAGGAATTTTTCCCCAACATCCAACCTAAATCTGTTTCTGCCCTGGCTGTTGTCTCAGCTGCCCCTTGATGCCAAAGCTCCAGTTTTCAGAGCACGGGCTGGTTCTGCCTCTTTCCCTCACCCTCCCTGTGCTGGGAGCTCCAGCTTCCTGGTTTGTTTTTGAACTTCCACACCTGGGGAGGCAGATCTGTGCCTGGGCGGCGGGAGAAGTGTGAGGCAGGAGTGGCCTCAAAGGCAGCGGATCAAAGGCTCTTTCTTGTCTGACTCGCCCGTGCAGGAGCCCGCCCCGTGTTATCGCTGGACCCCGTGCAAAATAAATAGGTTAATCAGCATCTTATTAAAATGAAGTGCTTTAATCTGTAATTCCCGAGCTGCTTTGAAAACTCGCCGAGGTCAGCGGCTGCAGGAGCTGAGGGTGGGTGCGTGAGCAGGGAGTGATGCCAGAGGCAGCGAGAGGGGTTCAGGGGGAGTGAGCAACAATGCCAGGCAGGGACGGGCACAGAGGAACTGTGCTGGGAGCCCAGGGCCCTTGAGCTCAGTGCTTCTGTCCCAAGGAGGCCACAGAGCTGCTCCCAGGGCTGGAGCCCCTCTGCTCTGGAGCCAGGCAGGCAGAGCTGGGGGTGCTCACCTGGGGAAGGGAAGGCTCCAGGGAGAACTCAGAGCCCCTTGCAGGGCTTGAAGGGGCTCCAGGAGTCAAAGGGCAGGGTTAGATGGGAGATTGGGCAGGAATTGTTCCCTGTGAGGGTGGTGAGACCCTCACAAGGGTGCCCAGAGTGCCTCTGAATCCCTGGAATTGTTCAAGGCCAGGTTGGACAGGGCTTGGAGCACTCTGGAATAGTGGAAGGTGTCCCTGCCATGGCAGGGGCTAGAATGAGATGGGCTTTGAGGTCCCTCTGAACCCAAACCATCCATGAACCATCCGTAAACCAGTTAGGTGCTGGCTTGGGGCTGCCCTCAGGGCATGGAGCCCCTTGGAGCCTCCCTGCAGCTCTCGAGCTCCTGGCCACAGGCTGCTGTGTCCGGGCACAGGATCCAGGGCTGGATGTGGCCCCACATCGGCTGCGGTGCCAGAGGAACCGGGCAGGGATTTTGTGCAAGTTGGTTCCTGCAGGATTTTGTTGCCACAGCGAGTTCAGTGCCTGGGAGCTGTTTCAGGCTGTGCATTCCCAGTCTGGTCACTGCTCTGTTTAGCCTCAGTCTGCCCAAAGTCCCACCCCAACTCCTGCATTTGAGCAAGAAAAACAGGGAGGGAAAAACAGCCCCAGACCACAAAGCGCTGCGGATCCCAGCGCTGGGGCTTTTCGAGCGGCTCTCGCCGCGCTGGCAGATTTTAACCGGAGGAAATTACCTCACCTGGAGGTCCCCGAGGCCGCCGGCCTGAGGGCTGGGGCCAGGGGCTGGGGAGCAGAGCCTGGCCCTGATTCCCAGCTGCCTGCAGCGCCCAGCCCGGCCCCGCCGTGCCCGCACACGGCTCCTGGCTCTGTGCACAGAAGGATGGAATTGGCTTCCCACAGCCTCCCTGTGCTGGACAGCAAAAGGAACAATTAGCAGGGGTTGGGGCCAGGAGTGTGCTGAAACTTGGCCCCCCAGGATCCAGCAGGCGATATTCCAGGGGTGGTGGAGCAGGGTGGGCACACAGCAAGGTGAACCTCCCCTGCTTTGCAGCCCTGCTCCCTCCATCCCTGCCATTTTATCGCCGTTGTTTTCTCCCTGGGTTCCTGGCTTGGCTGTTGCTGCAGCTGCCGGGCGCCTGGCCCCGAGCCAGCCCCTGCCAGATGGCGCGGGGCTCTCAGACGTGCTGCACTCCATTCCCCGTCCCGCTCCCGCTATTTAATCAAATTATAGGAAAAGTCAATTTGCTGGATTCCCGTTCTGCAGCGCCTCCCCATCCCCCCCAGCCCACGCGCGGCTCCCTCTGCCCACAGCACCCGGCAGGACCAGGGCCTGGAATTCTCTTTTTTGAGCAGGGGACAAAGGGCAGCTGCCAGTGTCTGTCAGGATTTGCCCTTCCCCCCTCTCTCTTTTTTTGTCTTTATTTGACGAGTTCTCTGTAGAGTCACGGAGTCATTAAGGTGGGAAAAGCCCTCTAAGGGTCACAGAGTCCAACTGTTCCCCAGCACTGCCAAGGCCACTGCTGACCCATGTCCCCAAGTGCCACATTCACACATTGTTTGAACACTTCTAGGGATGGTGACTCTACTTCTGCCCTGGGCACTCTGTTCCAATGCTTCACAACACTTTCTGTGAAGAAATTTTCCCAATTTCCAAACCTAAACCTCCCCTGGTTCCAGACCCTTCTCCAGCTCCACTGACCTTGTTGGATTTCTGGAGGGCTTTGGGGTCATTTTTTAAACAAAAGGAAGCCTGGCACAGGATGTCCAGGGCCATGGTGGAGTCACCATCTTGGAATTGTTCAAAAAACATGTGGATGTGGCACTTGAGGGCATGGGTTAGTGGTGAACGTGGTGGTGCTGCTGCTTTCATGGTTGGACTTGATCTTAAAGGTCTCTTCCAGCCTTAAGGATTCTCTGATTGTGTCTTTTATTCACACCATCAATTTTGTCCCTTTTTGCTGGTAAGGACAGGGGCTGGAAGGGAGCAGCTGGCTGTGGGGAAAAAGAAACTCAGGCAAGTTTCCTTCCCAAAGAGAGCTGTGTGTGCCAGGCAGAGCCTGGCCCCTGCCCCACCTCTGCTTTCGGCTGGATTAAAAAAAAAAGATTATCGGTTTCAGAATGAATCAAAGGAGATGAAAATAACCTGTGACAAAAGTTCTCACATCATCTCAGTGCTATTTCAGTTACTTTGAATGCCATTTCGGTTTCTTTGCATGTCGAATTTCTGCTTTAAAAAAAGAAAAGTCTGTTTTTGTCCTGGCAGAAGCTGATTTTCGGTCAAGGCTTTCTAGGATGGGTTTGGTTAATTTAGAAGGGAAGGAAAAGCTTTTTCTTCTGCTTCATGTGCTGTTAAATCACAGAGCTGAGCAGTGCTGCAGAAATCTGACCCAAGAGCTGTGTGAGGGCTGTCTGAGATTTGTCCCTCCCCTGTGACAACAGCTATGAGGGGCTGCTCAGCCCCACGTGCCTCAGTTTCCCCTCAGCCTGGTTTCCCTGAGGGCTTTGGGTGGGGGCTGTGCTCAGGACCCTGGCACAGGGCAAGGTTGGCACAGGGGGGTCCCGAGGCCACATGGGTGCCCACTGCCATCACCCAGCCCGTCCCCCCAGTGTGGAGTCACTGCAGCACTGGTGGCTTTTGTGGTTACCCAAAAAAAGTTATAACCATGGAAAAACGGAACTGGAGCAGAGTCGAAACTTCTGCTGGAGCTGGGCAGGTTCTGGGGACCAAGAAGGGTGACAGGAACAATCAGAGAGGAGCCCTGTGCCCTGTCCTCTGTGTCCTGTCCCCTGCCCTGCTCCATGTAGGGCTGTGCCCTTTGAGGACTTTGGCTGGGCTGCTCCAGTTCTCCCTCCAAATCTGCTGTGGGATGAATTAAAACAAAGCTCCTGGGCTCATCAGATGATTTGGGTTGGAAGGGACCTTAAAGCCCATCCAGTGCCACCCTGCCATGGCAGGGACACCTCCCACTGTCCCAGGCTGCTCCCAGCCTTGCCCAGCCTGGCCTTGGGCACTGCCAGGGATCCAGGGGCAGCCACAGCTGCTCTGGGCACCCCAAGCCAGGGCCTGCCCACCCTGCCAGGGAACAATTCCTGCCCAATCTCCCATCCAGCCCTGCCCTGTGGCACTGGCAGCCATTCCCTGGCTCCTGTCCCTCCACACCCTTGAAAGGTCAGTTGAGTGAAGCACTTGCTGCTCTGTTGCCATACAGAGAGGAGAGGTGGTCAAACACTGCTGAAGTTTGGGGTTTAAAGTTTAAGCTGTGCAGGGTTGGGGGCAGCCGTGGTGAGGATGTGGGGCCATGGACTGACCAAGGCCTTCTCTTCAACCCCTTTCCTGCCCCACAGGTGTATCCATCCAACTCAGGTGATGACTACAGCAGGGACCCAGCTGGATATACTCCCTCGAAACCTCCCAGCACTGTGTATCCTGGAGCCTTTTACATGACAGGTGAGTTATTCCCAGCCCTGTGATCCCACAAGGCAGAGCAGGGGCAGCCTTCCCTGGTATGGACCATGGGAGGGATTGCACATCTGGAGAGAGCTCAGGGCAGGAGGGCATGAGACACAATGCAGCCCCAAAATCATCCAATATCCTGAGTGGGAAGGGACCCTCAGGGATCATTGATCCCAGCCCCTGTCCCTGCACAGCCACCCCAACAGCCCCACCCTGAGCAGCCCTGGCAGCGCTGTCCAAACGCTCCTGGAGCTCTGGCAGCCTTGGGGCCGGGACCATTCCCTGGGCAGCCTGGGCAGTGCCAGCACCCTCGGGGGCAAGAGCCTTGCCCTGAGCTCCATGCCAAGCCCTGCCACAGCTCCAGCCCTTCGTGGCCTCCTGGCCCTGTCCCAGAGAGTTTGTCCTGATTTGCTCAGTGGGTGATGCTCAGCACAGGCAGGACATGGTGGGGACAGTCCCAGCCCCTCAGCCAGGGCTGACCTGTTCCCCCCTGGGGCCTGGGGGCTGCCTCCTGCTGTCCCTGCCCCACTCAGCTCTGGGTTCGTTGCAGATGGACTCCACAACTCTCCAGACCTGTGGAGTTCCCCGGGTGCCATGAGCCAGTCGAGTTACGGTGCCATGCTGGGCAGCTCCTCGTCCCCGCTCCCGCAGCCCAGCAGCTTCAACAGTTTACACCAGCACGAACGCATGGTAACGTGTCCCCGTGGCTGTCCCCTCCCTGGCACCTTGTGCCCTGGCTGTGGGCCCAGGCCCCAGCTGCTGAACCCCACAGCTTTTGCGGGGCCCCTCTCACCGCGCTCCCCCTCCCTGCCAGAACTACCAGCTGCACTCCGGAGAGGTGAACGGCGGGCTCCCCTCCGTGTCCGGCTTCTCCTCGGCCTCCACGGCGTACGGAGTGTCCAGTCACACCCCCCCCATCAGCGGCACCGACACCATCATGGGTATGGCCAGGCCTTGTGCAGACCTGGTGCCTGAGGCATCCCACACACCCAGGCACCCTCGTGTGGCACCTGTGCCTGCAGTCTCTGCCCGGGGAAGAGGCACAGGGAGGTTCTGGGTTCTGCTCTGGGGGTTTACACCTCATAGGTTGAGTGTGGGAGGAGCCCAGCAGTTCTGGTATTATCTCCTGGAGGTGCTGTGGCTTAGATGAGTTGTGGGATGGATTTACAGCTGTGTGAAGCTGCTCCCCTAGATCCAGAACAGGAATGTTTGTGCTGGGTTTGGATACCACGTTAACCCCCAAGTGCTTTAATCTCTGACCCTGCTGAAGCTGTTACTGAAATGAACTCGTGCTCCCCAGGAAATGAGGATCCTGACACAGATTTGTAGAAAATACCTTGTTTTTCTATAGAGAAGGAAGTTTGGGATTCATGGAATGAAAGTATCATTAAGGTTGGAAGAGACCTCTAGGTTCATCCAGTGCATTGGTGGTTGTTGGGGTTTGAGGTGCCCCATGGCAGTGGCTGTGCTGCAGCAGAGATGTCTGATTGCTGTTGGTGGCACTACACTCCAGCCCAGGGCTTGCAGAGGTGTCCCTGCAGCCCCTTGATGGCTTCCAGGGGAAGGTGCCCCATGTCCGAGCTGGACAAACATTTAATTTTCAAGCAAAGCACTAAAAGCAGGAAATTTCCACCCCAGAGCAGGTGCCCCCAGAGAAGGCCCTGTAGGGTACTGTGTCCTGCTGGGCTCTGGGGCCCTGGCAGTGGCATCTGTGTCTCTTGGCAGGTAACAGAGGAACCACAGCCGGGAGCTCCGGAGACGCTCTCGGGAAGGCTCTGGCCTCGGTAAGAGTTTGGGATAGTCCTGACCCACCCCAGTCCTGCTGCTGCAGGGACCCTCTGCCCAGCAGGGAACATGCACACATTTGGTGAATGCACCCCAAATCCACAGCAGCCTCTGAGGGAGGGTTTTCCCCTCTCTGTGTGCTGTCATCTCAGTCCCAGCACCTTTTGGTGGATGGGGAAACTGAGGTTGTGGTGGCCCTGCAGCCCCATTTGCTGCTCTGTGCCATCCCAGCCTGGTGCTGCTCTCTCTTGCCTCTTGCCTGCTTTTCTCTCTCTTGCCTCAGGCCTTGGTGGGGAAGGGTTTTTGGGTGGCACCCTCTCCTCTGACCGCCTGGAATCAGCTGGTTTGGCAGGGATGGATGTTTGGGTAGCAGCAGACCACCCTACACAGACCTCATGGCAGGAGGTCCCAGTAGTCCTTGCCCTGTGTGTGCTGGTTCAAACTGGAGGGCACTGGTCTCACTGGGTCACCAGAGAGTTGCCCGTGTCCTGTTCAGTGATCTTTGCACAGTGGCAGAGGGGTGCTGACAGTGACCCTGCAACGATTCCTGAGAGCTCCTGCTTCCTCCTGAGAGGGCACCTGAAGAGCAGAGGCTGCACTCAGGGGTGGTGACAGTGGGGACATGGAGAGACCCCAGGGTTAATGGGGGAACTGGGGGGAGCTGGGCACGGTCTTTGTGCTGGCTGTGGGTTTGAGAAGGGAGGTCCCAGCAGGTGGTGGGTGCCACTGGGAGGGGACAGCTAGCTCAGGGTGGCACTGCTGACCATGCCCCTTCTGTCCCTGCAGATTTACTCCCCCGACCACTCTAGCAATAACTTCTCCTCCAACCCCTCCACCCCGGTCGGGTCCCCGCAGGGCCTCGCAGGTGAGTGACAGTGTGAGGGTCAGGGGGGTGGGGTTTGCTTTGGGGACCTCCCAGGCACTGAATTTCCCAGGTCAGCCCAAACTCTCAGCCCAGGGCTGGCAGCAGCCCCAGGACCTTCTCCTGCCCTTCCTGACCCTGTCCCTGCACAGAGGCTGTGGCTGGATTTGCCTCCCGTGGGAGAAGTGCAGTGGCACCTGGGAAGCAGCCAGGGGCTAAAACCCACGTTCAGCACCTGCTGGAAGCCCATTCCTGGTCCCCTTGGGCAGGACAGGTCTGGTTGTACCCAGCAGAGCTGGTGCCCAGGCTTCCTGTGCCCAGGGTGCAGCGTAACCTGGCCCTGAGGTCACAGTGAGTCACTGGGACCAGGGACATTGGGACACCTCTCGAGGCCTGAAGGGCTGAGCCAGGGCAGAGCTCAGAGTGCCACACAGTGCCACAGTGTCTGTGCAGTGCCACACAGCTCTGTGGTGGCCCATGAGGTGCTGCAGTGGTCCATGTGGTGCCTTGGTGATCCATGTAGTGCCATGCAGTGCCAAGTGCCACACAGCTCTGTGGTGGCCCATGAGGTGCTGCAGTGGTCCATGTGGTGCCATGGTGCCCATGCTGTGCCCTGTGGTGCCCCAGTGGCCTGTGCAGTGCCATGGTGTCCATGCAGTGCCATGGTGGCCCATGCAGTGCCATGGTGCCCATGCAGTGCCCTGTGGTGCCCCAGTGGCCTGTGCAGTGCCATCACGGCCCATGTGGGGTCTCAGTGGCCTGTGCAGTGCCATGGTGCCCATGCAGTGCCCTGTGGTGCCCCAGTGGCCTGTGCAATGCCGTGGTGGCCCATGCAGTGCCATGGTGCCCATGCAGTGCCCTGTGGTGCCCCAGTGGCCTGTGCAGTGCCATCACAGCCCATGTGGTGCCTCAGTGGCCTGTGCAATGCCATGGTGGCCCATGCAGTGCCCTGTGGTGCCCCAGTGGCCTGTGCAATGCCATGGTGCCCATGCCGTACCATGGTGCCCATGCAGTGCCCTGTGGTGCCCCAGTGGCCCATGCAGTGCCATGGTGCCCGTGCAGTGCCCTGTGGTGCCCCAGTGGCCCATGCAGTGCCATGGTGCCCGTGCAGTGCCCTGTGGTACCCCAGTGGCCTGTGCCGGGCCGGGTGGTGCCGGTGTGGCCCGAGCAGTGCCCGAGCAGTGCTGTGTGCCGCGGTGGCCGGTGAGCCGTCGCGGTGGCCCAGCTTCCAGCCCCATCTAGTGGCCGCCGTGGCCATGGCCGGTCCCAGCTCTGCGTTTGTCCCCAGGCTCGTCGCAGTGGCCGCGGGCGGGCGGAGCGGGTGCCTTATCTCCCAGTTACGAAGGGAGCCTCCACACTTTGGTGAGTGGCACCAAAAATTCCGGGTTCACCTTTTCTCTCTCTTGCCTCAGGCCTCGGTGGGGAAGGGGTTTTGGGTGGCACCCTCTCCCCTGAACGCCTGGAATCTGCTGGTTTGGCAGGGATGGATGTTTGGGTAGCAGCAGCTGAGCAGAGCCGAGTGCTGCATCCCTGACCTGCAGTCCCCCGGCAGCCTGGCACCCTCCCCCTGCCCAGCCAGCCCATCCCAGGGGTCGGGCCCAGCCCAAGAGATTCCTGGCAGGTTCCTCCGCGCTCTGAGCAGTTCCACTCGTGTGACCCGTCGTGCCTTCGGGGAATGGCACTGGCTTGGGGGGTTGTTTCATCCCTGCCCTGTGGCTCCTGAGTCCAGGATTGCCACCAGCCATTCTGTAGTGCAGAGCAGCAGGGGCCTGCTGGCTGTATGGGATTGCAGTCATGGAATTGGATTGGAATCGTGGAAAGGTTTGGGTTGGAAGGGATCTTAAAGCTCACACAGTTGCACCCCTGCCATGGGCAGAGACACCTTCTGCTAGAGCAGGGTGCTCCAAGCCCCCTCCAGCCTTGGACACTTTCAGGGGTGGGGCACTTAACACAAACCTCTCTCTGTCCTGCCCTTCCAGCAAAACAAAATGGAAGACAGGTTGGATGAAGCCATCCACGTGCTGAGGAACCACGCCGTGGGCCAGACCTCTGCCATGCCCAGCAACCACGGGGACATGCACGGGCTGCTGGGCTCAGCACCAGCACACAGTGCTGCCGTGGGCAGCCTGGGCCAGCCCTTCCCCGCCTCAGTCATGGCCCTGGGGAACAGGCACCCGAGTCTGGTGAGTGTGGGAGCAATGTGGCAGCTGGCAGGGACACGCTGGGGACACGTGTCACGTGTGGTGTGACATGGCATTCAGAGGGACGTGTCCTGTGGTGCAGGAATAGCTCAGTGTGGTCCAGGCTGGGTCAGGTGCTGGCAGCGTTGCATGGGTGACAGGCAGAGAAGTCACTTCCATGTTCCTGCAAGGGAGAGCTGAGTCACAGAATCCCAGAGTGGTGTGGGGTGGAGGGACCTCAAAGCTCATCTTGTTCCACCTCCTGCCATGGCAGGGACACCTTCCACTGTCCCAGGATGCTCCAAGCCCTGTCCAGCCTGGTCTTAGACACTTCCAGGGATTTTGGGGCAGCCACAGCTGCTCTGGGGACACTGAGTCCAGCCTTGGCACAAGCTCTGTGTGCCCATCCCTTGTGCCCCTTCTCAGGGCAGGTAGAGGTGGTGAGAGATCTGCTCTTCTTTCCCTGCAACATGATTAAAAATCCCTCAAAACAACTTCAAGGCATCCCTAGGATATGCAGGGAGGAGAAGAGGGATCCAGTGGGTACAGGAGTGCCAGCTGTCACCAGGAACTCTGAATGGGCAGGCACCACGTCCCTCTGTGGTGTGTGAGGGCTCATTGCAGCTCCAGGGATGTGATGGATCCATGGCACCCTGGGCACGTGGATGCTGGCGTCCCATGCAGGGTCACCTGGGTCCCCCTTGTCTAGAGGCTGGTGACCACAGCAGCACATTTTTGGCAGAGCTGCTTGCCTGCTGCAGCAAACAGTGACACCCCTCCAGTCCCCAGAGAAGCAGTTGTGATCCCCTTCTAGGCTCCCTGGGTTCTGCTCTGAGCAGGGAATGAGACGTGTCCTCTGCAGGCTGCTGCCAGCTGGGGAGCCAGCAGGGCTGGTCTGTCCTGTCAGTCCCCAGCCTGTGTGGCACTGCCTGGGGGCTGTGGGCTCAGAAGGGCCCCTCACCCTTTGCCTGCAGCCCCTTTGCAGCCAAGTTCATGTTGTTGGGATGTCCCGTGCTCCGGTGGCACTAGGGAGGTGCAGGCACAGTGGTGCTCAGTGGACACAGGACACGTGTCCTCTCTGCTGTGCTGGCCTTGCACTGGCCACAGAGGGGCTTTTCCTCGGGGCAGGGACAGCAGTGACAGGGGCTCTGGGCTGGCTGCAGCTCCTGCTCAGGGCAGGGAGCTGCAGTGTCCCCAGCACAGTCCCAGAGAGCTGCTGCTGCAGGCTGGCTCTGCCCTCCTGCACTCCAGAGCTGCAGGGGTGGGAGGGTGAGGGCAGCACCAGCAGTGCCTCAGCCTGGAGCTGGGGGTGGCCTGGGGTGACTGCTCAGCTGAATGTCCCCACTGCCTGCTCCCCTCCCTGAGGCTCATGCTGCTCCTTGTGCTGCAGGTGGGAGGAGGCCACCCCGAGGATGGGCTGTCCAGCAACCCCAGCTTGCTCCACAACCATGTGACACTTCCATCACAGCCCAGCTCGCTCCCGGACCTCAGCAGGCAGCAGGACACGTACAGTGGTAAGGCAGCTCTGCACGGGTGCAGGCGGGGCTCACCTGTTCCCAGGGCTCACCTGTGCTAAGGGCCACTGCTGAGGGTGTGGGGAGCCACCTGTGGGGCTTGGGTCCAGGCCTGTGCAGCCTGGGAGGAGGTGGATGATGCCTCTGCAAGGCTGGTGCTTCCTTGCAGCATTCACAGGGCAGTTTCTACTTGTCCTTTTCCAGAGGTTTTACAGAGTCCCAGAATGGTCTGGCTTGGAAAGGACCTTAAAGCTCATCCCGTTTCACACCCTCCCTTGGACAGGGACACCTCCCACTGTCCCAGGCTGCTCTGGGCACCCCAAGCCAGGGCCTGCCCACCCTCCCAGGGAACAATTCCTGCCCAATATCCCATCTAACCCTACATGTCTGTATTTTCCTGTTCCCCCTGCCAGGTGTGGGTGCACAGTTCCCAGTGCTCTGCTGTGTAGGTTGGATTCCCAAATTGGAGGGTCTGGGAAGTAAGAGGGAGAACAGGGAGCACCAGCAGGGCAGAGGCAGCACCCTCACACCTTCCCTGAATGTGGGGCAGCAATGCAGGATGAGTTTGGGATGCCACTGCAGGAGCAGAGCCTGGGGACCCCCCCAGCCTCCTGTGTGGTCAGGTCCCTCAAGCTCTGCGTGTGGCTGTGCTCTCTCTGCAGGCTTGTCCGGGGGGCTGGGCCGGAGCAGCGTCTCCTCAGGAACGAGCGAGATAAAGAGGGAAGAGAAGGAGGATGAGGAGAACACGTCAGTGGCAGATAACTCAGAAGAGGAGAAGAAGGAGCTAAAACCCTCCCGGAACAGAACAAGGTGCTCTTTGAACAGGTCTCTCCCTTCACTTTCTCTGCTGCCAGGCCAGGGGTGTTTGGGCTGGGGTCCAGCTGCCAGGACCCGCCAGGCACTGGGCTTGGCCCGGTTTGGCCTGGGGTCATCCTGTGGCACAGACCCCCCAGCCCCTGCCCACCCTGGAGCCTGGTGTGGTCTCACACAGCCTGGGCTCCTGCTACTGCCCCAGGGGGAGGGGTCCCTGCCACCCTCCTGCTGGCTCCTGTCCCTATGGCCTCAGGGCACCCTCATGCTCCTAAAGCAGAGGGATGCACCTCACCCCTCACCTGCCTCTGTGGGCACCTGGGGCTGTGCAGGGAAAGAGCAAGTGCTCAGCCCCAGTCAGACATGGTTTGACCCCTTCCCTGCCTTGGGGCATCTCTGCTCTCTGCTTTGGGCTCCTGTATCCTCTGTCACATCCAGCCAGAGGAGTGGCAGTGGCTCAGGTGGAGTCCTTCAGCGTGTTGGCTGCTCCGCGGCCTTGCCACCAGCTCGGAGACCTCAGCAGGGTGATGGTGGCCAGAGAGGCAGCACCAGCCCCACTCCTGCCCTGGAGGCAGAGGGCTGCATCTTCCCAGATTCCAGCTGGGGATTCCAGTGTTGGCCTTGTCTGGGCCACCCTGCACACTCCTGGCAACAAGCTCAGGCCTTAATCACATTGTGGTTTCTTTCTTTGCTGTTTAAAAACAAAAGAAAACAAAAAAGAGGCAGAAGAAGAGCCTTAACTGCTTGTCTGCGAAGCCCCTGCGTGTCCCTGCGCGTGGCACAGGCCAGCAGGTCCTGGCAGGGCACGTGGGGGGCTCGGCGTCTTGGCGCGTCACCGTGTGTTTCTTGTCTGTGAGTTGACCAGTGCTGAGAGTGCACACGAGGAATGTCCCTGTCTCGTTCTTATTTTAAACCATTAGTCAAGATGAGGATGAGGAGGACGATCTTCTTCCCCCAGAGCAAAAAGCCGAGAGAGAAAGAGAAAGGAGGGTCGCCAATAATGCCCGTGAGCGCCTGCGGGTTCGTGACATCAACGAGGCCTTTAAGGAGCTCGGACGCATGTGCCAGCTGCACCTAAACAGCGAAAAACCGCAGACCAAACTGCTAATCCTACACCAGGCCGTATCAGTCATACTGAACCTGGAGCAACAAGTTAGAGGTCAGTGAGGGTCCCGGAGTGGTGATATTTTACGTACCTGATCGGCACGGGGCTGTCTGTCTGTCTGTCTCCTGTGACGTGCTGTGGTGCCTCGCACTGTCTCTCTCCCCTGTGGCCTTGGGGACCAACCCAAGGCTGTCGATGTCCTTTTAATTTTTTTTTTTTGCCTTTTTTTGCATCCATCCCTGCTGTTCTCTCCTTTGCCCCCCGCTGCCACCGCGTGTGCTGCATGCTGTCCCCGTGGGGACGCCTGTGCCATCCTGCTTCCCCGCAGCCGGGAGTGCTCAGTGCTTGGCCAGCAAAGTGACAGAAACCCCACTAGAGAATCCCCCAGAGGGGTCCAGCCCTGCCGGCTTCAAGGGCTGCTCTGAGCACCGAGCCCGTTCCTTTCCCCTGGGTGTGCCTGACGTGGCTCTGGGCTCCTGTTCCTGCAGTGTGGCACCTGGCAAAGCCCTGGGCTCGGGGCAGCTGTGCGAGGGCAGCGGGATGCCCCGGGCTGAGCAGCCCTGGCTGCCTGCCCCGGTGTCCAGCACAGGCTGGGAGCACTGTGCATTCCGAGCCTGGAGCCTCTGCCCTCACCGGGACACCCCGAGGGCAGCTGGGGACACCCTGAGGGCACGCTGGGGACACCCTGAGGGCAGCTGGTGACACGCTGAGGACAGCTCGGGACACCCTGCTCGGGACACCCTGCTCGCTCCCCTCCACACGTGCAGCATGGTGTGTGTGCACCCACCGCAGGAGGGAGCCAGGGTGGCTGTCCCGGCAGTCCCATCCGCCCCGGGACGTGGCTGCTTTGTCCCCATCCCGCAGTGCATGCTCCTGCCCGGGCAGGTTAACCCCTTTCTCTCTGCAGAGCTGTGTAACACGCGTCGGGGGCTGTGCCTGCCTGTGCTCCTCTCTGCTGGCCTTGCTGTGCCTTGATGTTGGAGTCCTTTGTGCCTCTCTTCAGTTTGTAATTTTTTGCCTTTCATAACATGTATATTTTTTCCTGTCTTCTATTTTAATTTCCCCTTCCTTTTGATTTTTTTTTTTTATTTCAAGTTTTTACTTTTTGGTTCTGTTCTTTCCAATCTCCTACAGACATGCCCCAGCCGTGACCTCTCGGTGGTCCCACTCTACCTTGTACTTGCTGCTCACGGATCCCAGGCAGGACCAAGGGTGGGGCAGGGCTTAGGCAGAGTTGGCACCGTGTTCACTTTGGTCTCCCACGCTTGTCCCTTTTTAAACCCTTCCTGGAGGCAGCCAGAGAGGTGGCTGAGCCCCGCAGGCTCCCTCAGCAGATGGTGCAGACAGGCAGTGTCCCCTCCTTGGGTTTGTGCTGCTTTCCAGGAGACAAAACCACCCTCACCCCCTCTGGTAGCACTGCCATCAGGTCCTTGTGTGCCATGGGGGCTGCCAGCATCCTCCCAGTGCCACAGCAGCTGCAGGAAGGGAAGGGAGGAGACTGAGGAGTTTTGGGCTGGTTGGTGACCCCCAGGGGCACAGGGCAGCCGAAGCATCCCATCCTCACACAGTGCAAGCTGCCAGTGGTACGTGCTGGTGGTGGGGACACGGCTCTGTCCTGCCCAGGTGTGACATCCAAGCCTTGTCCCTGCTGGGGGAGCCACCAGCCAGGACTGGCCACCAGCAAGGACCTGCAGCCACCAGCCTGTGCTGGAGGAAGGATCTGGGGTCCTGTGTGGGGACACAGGTGCCAGGATGGCCCCGTCCCCCCACCTGTGCTGGGCGTGTGGAGAGGAGGTGGCAGTGCCAGCTGGGGCAGCGAGGAGGGGACACAGGCAGGGACAAGGCAGCGAGGAGAGGGTGCAGCAGGGCCAGTGGGCAGCCCTCTGTCCCACACAGGCACTGCTTGCCCGGGGAGCCCCTGCTCCCCCTTCACATGCCGTGCACTGTCCTGAGGCTCTGCAGGGGGCTCTGACTCTGCAGCCCCTCTTTGCTAGAGGCTTATCCCACATGGCTCCCCAGGAGCTCGAGGCCACAGGCTGTCCCAGTGTCAGCTCTCACCCAAGGACCCTCCTCAGACAGGTGTCTTCCTGCAAGTTTTGCTCTGGGGGAGAAGGTCGTCTGCATTTAAATTGGGGCTTTCAGGGGGATGGGCAAGGCCACGGTTCAAGATGCTGCCAGCACAACTTTGCTTCCCCCATCCCTGCCTGTGTCAGGCATCCCAGGGGTGCTGTCAGCAGTGGGGGCTCTCCCAGAGCTTCTGACTGTGCCTGGAAAAAAAATCACCCCTTCTGGCAGGCTTTTGGCTGTGTGGAAAGATCAGAATTCAGTGTCTGCATCCAAGTCTGATCCTCAGGGCAGCCCTGGCTCCTGAGAGGGTGCCAGGCCACGCTGCTCCTGCTGCTGCAGCACCACTGCTTCACACACCAGCACTGGAAGCTGCAGAATTTGGAATGGAATTGGGAAGGAAATCTTACAAAGAAGGATTTGCTTCTTGCCAAAATCTCACCATGGGGGACAAACCTGGCATTTTTGGCCGAGAGCCTCCCCCAGTCGTCGAGTTTTCAGTTGAGAACAAACAGGAAGGCAAAATTTTGCAGAGGGTGGAAGGTGTTGGTGGGTGATGCTGCATCAATGCCCACCCTTGCCCCCAGTGGCCCCTCCAGCCCCCTGGGCACCTGGCTCTGTGCTGGCAGCACCTTCCCCAGGCTTGCAGAGGTGACACAGCCTGGGCTGCTGTGGGAAGCACCCGGAGGAATTGGCTTTGCAAAGTGAGGCCGTTTGGGCCATTTCCAGTGGACACCCGGAGCACTTCCAGCACGGCAACATAGAGCCCCCCTCGGTGGCACCCCCGACTAACCCTGTGGTGCTGTGAACCCAGCAGTACAGACGAGGCCTTGTCACTGGAGGACAAAGATCTGAGGGACCGGGAGAGGAGAATGGCCAATAACGCCAGGGAGAGGGTGCGTGTGCGGGACATTAACGAGGCCTTTAAGGAGCTGGGACGCATGTGCCAGATGCACTTAAAAACGGACAAAGCACAGACCAAACTGATCATCCTGCAGCAGGCCGTGCAGGTCATTCTGGGCCTGGAGCAGCAAGTACGAGGTATGGTACCGCTGGCAGGTGCATTTCGGGGCCTGTCTCTCCCCCTGGCTCTGCATGCTCCTGCTTCTCTGTCCTGACTCTGCTTTCAGTCTGAGCTGTGTGTTTGCAGCGCCAGCAGCACCTCTGGCTGCTGAGCTCTCCCCAGCCCTGGCCCAGGGTGGATTTGAGGCTCCCCTCTCTTTCTGCTCATGCTTAATATAATTTGGAACCTGGATCCCATTAAGCAGCTTTGGAAAATTCAGTCCTCAAGTCTGAGTGCTGGCTGGGGCCCTTGGGGGTTCCCGTAACAAGCACATGGAGATGCCCTGGCACAGGGTGCCCAGAGCAGCTGTGGCTGCCCCTGGATCCCTGGAAGTGCCCAAGGCCAGGCTGGACAGGGCTTGGGGCACTCTGGGATAGTGGAAGGTGTCCCTGCCCATGGCAGGGGGTTGGAACAAGATGGGTTTTAATATTCCTTCCAACCCAAACCATTCCATGATCCCATGTTGAAGTGGGGGTGCAGCTGGGCCTGGGGTTCTGCTCGAGGAGGGGCCTGGCAGGTCCTGCAGGGACTGGGGGCTGCACGGAGCTCATCTGCTCACTCAGGCCTGCCTGGCAGGTCCCTGCTGTCCCTCTGGGACGCTGCTGCCAGGGTGATGCTGTTTCAAACCATTCCATGATCCCATGTTGAAGTGGGGGTGCAGCTGGGCCTGGGGTTCTGCTCGAGGAGGGGCCTGGCAGGTCCTGCAGGGACTGGGGGCTGCACGGAGCTCATCTGCTCACTCAGGCCTGCCTGGCATGGCCCCTGCTGTCCCTCTGGGACACTGCTGCCAGGGTGATGCTGTTGCCCAGACTGAGGTTGCTCCCCTCCCTTGCTGTTTTGGGCACAGAGCGCAATCTGAACCCAAAAGCGGCCTGCTTGAAACGTCGGGAAGAGGAGAAAGTGTCCGGAGTGGTAGGAGACCCCCAGATGACACTGTCAGCTTCCCATCCTGGTCTAGGAGACGGTCACAACCCTGTTGGACACATGTAAAGGTACTGTTCCCCACCTTTGATCCCACATCCAGGGTGGGTCCAGCCCTGTGCCCATGCCCTGCTCTGCTCTGGCTGGTCAGCCCCGCTCCCTCAGCAGCAGCCTTGCTTCATTTCCCTGAAATCAGTGACTTGCATGTGTGCAAGGCCTGGCACAGGGTGCCCAGAGCAGCTGTGGCTGCCTCATCCCTGAAGTGTCCAAGGCCAAGTTGAAGGGGCTTGGAGTGACCTGAGATAGTGGGAGGTGTCCCTGCCCATGGCAGGGGTGGAATAAGATGAGCTTCAAGGTCTTTTCCAGCCCAACCCATTCCATGATTCTGTGTCATGTGGCCCCCCACCCAAAGGCTCTGGCCCACAGCAGAGTGCAGTCCCACAGCTGGGATGGGGGGTTTGGAGCTCTCTGAGTGGGCTCAGCTCTGCTCTGCACCTCCCAGTGCTGCCCTAGTTGGCTACTGGAAACCAGCAATTCCTTTTCCTTGTGGGTCTATGAGAGGAAATGGGCAGGTCCCAGAAATGCCAAGAGAGTCAGAGAACGTGAAAATGCCCTGGTGAGGCTGTGGCAGGCACAGGCTCCAGAGGGCTGGTTCCACTTTTAAGGGACCCTGGGAGCATCCGAGCAGTGCAGAGATGGTGGGGGGACTGAGCAGATCCAGGAGTGGTAGGTCAGGAGCTGATCCCATGGAGTGCCTGGAGAGGACACAGTCCCTTGGTGTCCCCTGCCCCAGTGGTGCCTGGAGATGGCCTGACCAAAACAAAGGCAAAGCTCAGCTGCAGCCCTGCAGGGACAAGCGGCAGCAGGAGCCCTGGGGCCCCCTGTGCAAGGAGCACAGTTTTATTCTCATTTGGGCTTCTACCACTTCAGACTTTTCTTTTATTGTATTATTTTATTTGTAGATCTTTTTGTTCCTCTGGATACGGAGATCTGTAGGAAGAAAACCCTCGGCGTGACCTGCAACCCTGTTGAACCATAAACTGTAGTACTGCTCATACTGACACACGCAGACGGATCCTGGCGTGACGTAAGGAGTGGAAAAAACACTTTGTCAAAAACAAAACGGAAACAAAAAATTGCCTTAAGTATAAAGTGCAGAACAGTCAATACATATCACTCAGTTAGGAGGGGGTGGCGTGTTCTCTTGGCTTGTTCACAAGCAGCCAGCAGCAAAATTGTGCCTAAGCTTGATATTTCTTTTTTAAAAAAAAAGAACATTAGTTATGAGATTTTTTTATGTAGAACAAATAGCAATGCCTTTTGGTTTTTTTAGCTTCTTTTGCATATGTTTTGTAAGCAACGAAAAAATTTTTTTTTGTATAAAAACATGTCTTGTACCCTCCGCTTTTCTGCTGCTGTTTCTATAGTTAACGTTGCATCTTTAGGATCAACCAGAATATTAAAATTGTATTAAGAGAGACTGGATATAAAGAGAGGAATTCTCAGATTCGGCTCGGAAAGCCACTAAAAGCGAATGTAGCCACAGTGAGGGAATGTTCTTCCTTGCCTGGCTTGTACCTTCCATGACAAAAAACAAACTCGTGCTGAATTCACCATCTCTTTTCTTCGGCCACTTCTGATTTGGGAAAAGGAAGTTAAACAGCAGAGCGAGTGGCAGCAGTGCTCCCGCTGCCCCGGGCAGTGACCGGTGCTCGGCGGGGTTGGCCTTGTCCCGGAGCGTCGGGAGAGAGCAGCCCCGGGAGCAGGAGAACCAGGGACTGAGGCGCTGCCAGGTGAGCAGAGCAGCAAGGGATGCACAGGGAAGAGCCTGTTCCACAGGGCAGAGCTGCCCGAGGCGCTTCCAGGAGCAGCACTGAACAAAGACCAAGTGAACAAAGCTGGAGCGTGGCAGGAGGCGGAGGCAGCGGAGCAGCAGCAGCGGGGCACGGGGCCAGGAGGCCGGGACACGGGGCCAGGAGGCCGGGACACGGGGCCAGGAGGCCGGGGCACGGGGCCAGGAGGCCGGGCAGCAGCAGCCTGAGGGTGCTGCAGGCAGGGAAGGAGCAGCGAGCTGGCCACTCCAGCCTGGGCAAAGCCGTGAGCAGCAGGATCCCTTCTCGAACCGGAGCCATCGGAAATGCAAAATGCTGCCTCGGGGAGAGGGGTGGCTTCACACCCCACTGTCACCTGCTGTCACATCTCCCAGGCGTCCTTGGAGGCAAACTGAGCTCAGCACTGCCACGGGATGTGAGTGGCCACCATCACCTGCACATGGGCTCCTTCCTTGGCACTGGGGAGGAGGGCAGCAGGAGCTCCTGTCCGTGTACTCCAAGCAGCCAGCTATCCCTTCACTCCAAGGGATTCCCAGTCACTCCAGACCACTCTGGTGTGCTCAGCAGGAGGAGGATCCCTGGCAGCCCCTCTGGGTGCCCTGGAGGTGTGGAGCAAAGAGGTGCTGGGCAGTTCTGGGCTGCAGCAGCCGGTTTGGAGATGGCCATGGCAAAACATCCACCAGGAATTTACTCTTGTTTCTTCCCTCTCCTTCCCCTTGTGAAACGTTTTGTGCCTGGTTCTTCCCAGCTCTGCAGAGCCCAGTCAGGCAGGATGGTGCATGAGACATGGGTACTGGTCTGGGGGATGTGGGGAACTCCCCTCTCCCCTGCAGGCTCCATCTCTCCCTGTGCTGCTCCAGCCTGGGCTCCTGGGGAAGCTGTGTTGCTGTGGCACAGGGAAAGGGAGGGACTGGCAAACAGGATTAGGTCCTGTGGCATTTGCCAGCAACCCCAGGCTCTTGGCATAACCTGGTGCTCCTCCACGTGCTTTGTGCTCTGGCAAGCTCTGCTGGAAGTGATCAGGGCAGTGCTTATCTCCCACCCTCACCTGGGCACTGTGGCCTCAGCCCCTGTGGCAGCTCCAAGCTGAGCCACTCCAAGTGCCAGGGCAGGATGGGACTGTCCCTGCTGCCCCTGGCCCTGCCCTGGGCTCCCCAGCATCCAACCATCACTCTGAAGCTTTTGGGTGCTCTCGCCATTCCTTCTGCGTGGTGAGACCTCAGCAGCCCCAGCTCTGTCCCTGGGAAGGGCAGGAAACTCCGTGGTTCCAGTAACCCAGGTGCTTCTTGCCTGTGTCAACAGACACATTTTAGCCTAATCAGCTCATCAGGTTACAACACTTCCCTCCCTGGGGCTCCTGTGGGTGCTGGAGCAGGGGGCAGGGAGATGGATGAGGTTTTTCTCCCCTTGTGACAGCCTTGACTCCATTCATGCTCTGGAGTGCAAACTGGAGGGCTCAGCAGCTGCTTTCTGTTTCATCCTGCTCCATTGGTGAGACTGCAAAGTACCCACTGCTCAGGGGTTTTGGCTGGCTCAGTGCCCCTGTCCCAGGACCAGGAGGGATGGAGCAGTGTCCCAGCCCTGGAAAGCTTGAAACCCTACAAAAAAAATTAAAAGTGGTTCACAAACCCTTTGATTTTGCCCCAAGAATTGCAGGTGGCAAGAATGGGCAACTGGACTTAAAGGACTAGTCAAGAAAAATCCGTAAATTCAACAAAAGTGGAAACCTGAGAAGATTTATGAGTTGTTCACAAATTTGCTGAACTTCTTTATCCCCTCCTAGTCCTGTAGGCCAAGGAGGAATCCTGATGAGCCAGAGCCTTTCTCACCATCCCAGAATCCCCAGGCATTGCAACAAAAATGGGGCTTTTCATCTGCATTTAGGTGGTTTAAGATGTTACTTCTGACAGCAAATCCAGCCAGCTTCCTTCCATGGCAAGACTTGGGTGAAGATCCTTGAGCATGAGCCCTCAGAGGCAGGGTTTGGAGAGATCATCTCAAAAGCACAATGTAGGGGGTGGCAGTGCTGTCCCTGGAGCTGCCTTGATGGCACAGGGTGACATTTTGTGTGCCAGCCCAGTGTGGCCTCAGTGGCATCTCTGCATTCCAGGTGCTCAGGGAACAACTGGGAAGAACAGCAAGGAAAAATTCCTTTGTCTTGCCAATGTGTTTGGCTCAGTGTGAACATGGTGCCTGTAATCTGCCAGGGAAAGTGGCTTTTCTAAAAAGAACCACTGCCAGGTGCTGTCCCCAAAATACCCCCAGCCCAGCCCTGAAATGTCACCCTGTAGCAATGAAACTCTTGTCTTGAGGTGTTGTGGTCAGTGAGGACCAGGTCTGCACCTCTCCAGCCCACAGCTCTGCTCCATTCCACTTGGGATCTTAGAGATCCCCAGACCTGCTCCTCTGCCTGTCTGTGTCCCCCACAGCAGTGGGGCTGCCAGGAGAGGTGTCACGGGGGGTGACATGCTGTATGGTGCCATTTATTCCATCTTCTCCTTCCTCTCTCAGCCTTTGCTTGCATGGCCGCTCCTGGGGACACGTGCCCTCTTCTTTGGGGGCCACTGAGCCCCCCCAAAGCTTCCTTCATCAGATGGGGCAGATGCCTTCCCTTCTGTGCAGCTTCTAGTCCCTCTTTCCCCAGGCTGCATCCCCGTGGAGTAGCAGAACTGGGGCACTGCCATGGGACATTTCCTGTGTCCCCAGCCCAGGGCCCTCCTGTTGCCCTGCTCAGCCAGCCCCCTGCCCCCCTGCACACAGGCTGTGCATGCCACAGGACTGGGGAGCATCTGCAATCCAGTCTGTGAACGGGAAAATTGCAGATTGTTGTTTTCTCCCTTTTCACCTGCTTTTTCCCCAGAGCAAAGCAGCTGCAGCCTCCCATGGCTTGGTGCTCAGGCAGTGGTGGCAATGTGGCTGCTCCTGCTCACAGCCCAGGGAGCAAATTCCAGCTGTGTGGCAGTCACCCCCTGTCACAGCCCCCAGCTCAGGGGCAGAATTCCAGCTGTGTGGCAGTCACCCCCTGTCACAGCCCCCAGCCCAGGGAGCAAATTCCAGCTGTGTGACAGTCCCCCCTGTCACAGCCCCCAGCCCAGGGGCAGAATTCCAGCTGTGTGGCAGTCACCCCTGCCCGTGACCCCCACTCACAGCCCCAGCCAGCAGCTCTCGGGGCTCTCTGCTGCCCTGCTTTCACAGCTGCCCCCCAGAGCTGTGCTGGCAGGAAGGATGGACTCAACCTGTGGTTTCCTCAGGAGGCTGTAATTCCAGAGTCAGGGCAGAAACTGCTCTCCAAGGTCCCTTGTGCCCCACCAGTGTCCCCACTGAAGCCAGCAGAGCCTTGGGCCCTTGCTGGGTGGTTCCAGTTGTGGGGGATGGAGAAACAGGAGGTTCTGGCACCCCCCAATCCCTTGCACCCCTTGAGCTTTGCTGCCAACTTTGTGGCGAGTGGAACCCGAGTTCCTCTTGCAGGCCCTGCTGTGCTGTACTGGGGAGCCTGGGCCAGCTGCAGTTCCATCCCTGGGCTGTGGGAGGTGAAGCAAAGCTGGGGATGGAGCTGGGCCAGAACAAGCCTTGAGCCCCCAGCTGCAGTGCTGGCAAACCCAGAGCAAGCCCTGGCCACTGGACTCCCCCTTCCTGCCCAACACCAGCAATAGCAAGGCCTGTTTTCTGTACCCCGAGCTTGCACAAGGTCTTTGCCCTGTTAAAAATCCTATGCAAATCTTATCCCTCTCCCCTCTTCCAGGGCTCTGCAGATCCCAGCCCAGCCAGTTCTCTCTGCTCTTGTCTGTAATTCCTACTCCCTGCTGCCCTCAGGGTCCAGCTTCATTCCTGGCAGCTCCAAAAGCATTTTGAGACCTGTGCTCTGGAGCTGGGAGGGGGCAGGTGAGACTGTAGGAGCACCCAGCTCATACTGAGCGCTGAACTGCAGGGGCAGGGCCTGGTCCTGGGGCTCCTGCACGCACCCTTCATCCTCCTGTGCCTTCTGCTCCATGCTGGTGGGGCTCTGCCAGCATCCCTCATCCCCCTGAAAGGAGAAGCTCTGTTCCACCTTGCTGCTGCCCAGACTGCCCTCTTCTAACTCCTGAGCCTCAGGCTTGGCTGGGGCTGCTCTTCCTTCAGCCACCGCAAGCCTGAAGGGGTGTTTCCCTTCCTCCCATGCTCCCCAGTCTCTCCAGCCAGCATCTCTGAGCTGTTTCCCTTTGCAGAGGGGCAGCCCATGCCAGCAGCTGCCCATCAGCTGGGACACAGGCAGGAGGATTTGGGGGGTGGGTGCTGCCAGTGTCCCCCAGCACAGCTGCCTCTCCCTGCTCTTGGGGACCTGGTGCTCTGTACTTTGATTTCCAGGACAATTCAGCCCTTTTGGGGAGCCAGCAGAGCTGTGCCTGCAGGACTCCCACGGGAAGGGGGCTCTGCTTAGGAGGGTGGTGCAGGCTCCTCGTGACCTTTTGCCAAACCTTGTGTGTCCATCTGCAGCCCAGCTCTGGGCCAAGGGTACTCCTGTCGTGGGTCTCCACACTGGTATCTCTGTTCCCCTGGGTTTGTACCCCTCCTGCTCCTCAGGGCTCCCCGTTCCCACCCTGGCCCAGCCAAGCAAGGCTCCAACTAACACTCACCCCAGGACATCTCAGCCCAGCGTGGCTGCAGCACCAGCCCAGGAGAGCAGAGGCGTTCCTGCTTCCAAAGGGGATGTCCTGGTACCAAGGCCTTTGGCCAAAGAGCATCCCCGTGCCCTGCATCCCTGGGCTGTGCCATGCACCCCTGGGCTGTGCCCGGGAGCCGTGGGGCTCCTGGAGGCAGCAAGCTGGGGACACCACGGGTCCCCCTTGCCAGGGCCACGTCTTCCCAAATGAGCAGAACCCAGCAGCTTTTGGGCAAACCTTGTGCCATGGAGCACCTGGGAGGGAAGGAGCCGCTGCTCCTGTGCCTGGGGGGGCAGGGCAGGGGGGCCCCCGCGCTGGGAGTGACCTGTTGGGTGCCCAGGGCTCCAGCTCTCTGGAAACAAAGCATTCCTGGGATGTTCTTTATATTTTTGTAGGAATGGGGGGTGGGAGAGCAGATGGGAGATGCCTGCGGAAGTTGTTTATTTTTAACCCTGTAGAAAGTTATGGGTTGTCTTTGGTTTTTGGCCTTTAAAATGAAAAATGGTCCTTGCTTTTGATGTTTATGCTGCCTACCTGTAAATCCAGATGTACTTAAGTGGCTGAAATCCTTGTTCTTAAATCAGATACACATTATAGTTTTGAATTATATATATAGTAAATATATATATATATATGCCTAACCCAGCAAAAAATAAAAAAAAAAATAAAGTATTTGGGGGTGGGAAATGCATTGCTCTTTGAAATGAATCACAATTGGGGGATGAAATTGTGTTTCTGAGTGCCTCAAGATATGAATTGTTTTCATTTTTTTAAATAATTTTATACAAGTGTCAAAACAGCTGGCTGGATTATTTGGAATTTTTAAATAATCCTAACTTTTTTAAAGTAGATTTTGAGAACTGTCCTGTATATAACAGTAATGTAGCAATAAATGTGACATTTTATAACAATATTACTTTTTTTATCCCCATGTGTGTCCTTCAGATGTTGTACCCCTAGGAATGAAAAGTTGGAATAAAGGCTTTGCCTTGTACTAAAAAACAAAAGAAAGCACGAGACAGGTTTTCAGACACTTGCTCTGGGTGTGGATCCTGCCCCCTGCATGCTGTTGTTTGCCTCTGCCCCTGGGGAGCACCCACAAAAAATCCACTCAAATCCAGTTAAATGCCCCCAGCCCATCCAGGAGCCCAGCACAGACTGGTGATGGGAGAAGTTCATCAAATCAGAGTCGTTAAGGTTGAAAAAGACCTTTCAGATCACTGGGTCCAGCAGTCAGTTCAGCACTAACCCATGCCCCAAGTGCCACATGCATTGTTTGAACGCTTGCAGGGATGGTGACTCCACCCTTCTGCCCAGGGCAGCCTATGCCAGTACCTGGCAGCCCTCATTGGGAAGAAATTATTCCTAATATCCAACCTAAACCTTCCCTGGCACAACCTGGGGCCGTTTCCTCTCCTCCTGTCCCTCGCTCCCTGGGAAGAGCCCGACCCCCGCCTGGCTCCATTCTCCTGCCCCCCAGGCTCCAAGGTCCCCCAGGACTGTCACAGAATTACAGACTCATTCGGGCTGGAAAGGACCATAAGGCCCATCTCATTGCACTGCCTGCCACGCGTGGGGACACCTTCCACTGAGCCACATGCTCCATCCAGAGCCGAGGCCTCTGCTGGAAGCAGCCTCCCTTCCCCAGGTCTGCTGCCTGTGCTCTCACTGTGCTGCTCTGGCTCGAGGCTTGTCTGCACAGAGCAGGACAGACAGTCCAGGCTAACTGGAAGTGGCTCTGGCAGTGGCTGGTTAATTCTCCTTAGCCTTGGGTGCCTTCTCTCAGCAGTGAGGCAGCTCTGCCCCTCCTGAGCTGCTCTGGGTGCATGGATGACAGTCCTTCCTTAGACTGCATCACAAAACCACAGAATCATTGAGACTGGGAGACTTTGAAGATCACCCAGTCCAACCATTAACCCGGCAGCACTGCCATGTCCACCTCTAAAGTGTCCTCAAGAGCCACATGCACACATTTTTTTAATGCTTCTAGGGATGGTGACTCCACCACTGCCCGGAGCAGCCTGTGCCAGCTGTTTACAGCCCAGATCCAGACGAGGGAGAAGTGTGTGCTTGGGAGCAGCCTGGAAGATGGATGCTCAACAAATGCACAAGGTGGAGCATAAAGCAAGCGAGTGCCAGTGTCCAGAGCAGGCCTGGGCTGGGGAGGGCAGGAGCAAGGAGCAGCACAGAGGGGCTGCTGAGAGCATTCAGTGAGCACTGGCCACCCAGTGAGCTCCTGCCAGCACTGGGGATGAGTCACTACCAGCTGGAGATGAGCTGGGATGGGACTACCAGATCCTAGGGGCAAATGTCATGTCATGCTTGCACCACCACACAATCACAGAATCACGGAATGGTTTCGGTTCTAAGGGATCTTAAAGCTCACCCCATGGGCAGGGACACCTTCCACCATCCCAGGCTGCTCCCAGCCCTGTCCAGCCTGGCCTTGGGCACTGCCAGGGATCCAGGGGCAGCCACAGCTGCTCTGGGGTGTCTGATCCAGAGTTCTCCTGCACGTTCACAAGCGGCTGAGCAAGCTCCGAGCAGAGCCTGGGGAGCACAATGGAATTGATGGTGATTTTATGACCCTCTCCTGAAAAACCTGGCTGGAAACTCCCTCTCCTGTTGGGGGAGACTGAGTGGCCATGACAGGGGGGTTTGAGGGGGCACTGATGGGCTCTGGGGACACCACTTTGGGAAGGGGGCACTTCTCTCCAGCACAAGAGGCTGGGAAGCAGTCCCAGCTCAGTGCAGGGACACTGCCACCCCTCAGGGCCCGTGTCCCCTCTCCAGCCTGGGCACATCCTGTCCCCTCAGAGCTCGTGCCGGGCTCTGTTCCCTCTCTGGTGCAAACACAGGCCTCACGTCCCCTCTGCAGTGCAGGGACAGCCGGTTCCCCCAGGGCAGCTGCTGTCTTCCCTCCGCTGTGGGGACAGCCTGTCCCCTCAGCCCGTGTCCCCTCAGAGCTCATGTCCTCTCAGGGCTGGTGTCAGGGCTCTTGTCCCTCCCCAGCATGGGGACAGACCGTCCCTTCAGGGCCCTGTCCGGTGTGGGGACAGTCTGTCCATCCATCCCACCTGTCCATCCATCTCTATCCCACCTGTCCACGGAGCTGCGAGGTGCAGGTGGAGCTGCAGGTGATCGCCTCCGGCCCTGCCCCTGACCCCGTGTTGCACCTGTCCATCTGTCCATCCATCCCACCTGTCCGTCCATCCCACCTGTGCACCTGTCCATCCATCCCACCTGTCCGTCCATCCGTCCATCCATCCATCCATCCATCCATCCATCCATCCATCCCACCTGTCCATCTGTCCATCCCACCTGTCCACCTGCCCGTCCCCTCGGCCCGTGTCCCCTCAGGCCTCGCGTCCCCCCCAGCACAGAGACAAGCCCATCCCCTCAGGGCTCGTGTCCCATCAAGTCCTGTGTCCCATCTGGGCTGGTGTTCCCTTGGCTGGTGTTTCCTTAGTGCCCGAGACCCCTCAGGACAGCCTGTGTCCCCTCAGGACGGCCCGTGTCCCCTCAGCGAGCCCCGAGTCCCCGCAGGCCCGTGTCCCCCCAGAGCTGCCCGTGTCCCCTCAGGGTGGTCAGAGTCCCCTCAGCACGCCCCGACTCCCCTCAGGACGGCCCGTGTCCCCTCAAGCCCGTGTCCCCTCAGCTCGCCCCCAGTCCCCGCAGGCCCGAGTCCCCTCAGCACCCCCCGTGTCCCCCCAGGCCCGTGTCTCCCCAGCGAGCCCCGAGTCCCCGCAGGCTCCCGCGCAGCCCCGCCCGGGGCCGGTTCCGCCCAGCCCCGCCCCGCTGCAGCCCCGCGCGTGCTCGCAGCGCCGCCGCCGCCGCTCGGGGTCACTTTGTGAGGCGGCGCCATCGCCATGTTGAGCCAGCTGCTGGGGCCGCGCTACGCGCAACTGCTGCGGACCTGGTGAGGAGCTGCCGGGCTGCCCGCGCCGCGCTGGGGCTGCCCGCGCCTGCCCGCTTCCGCCCCGGGCTCTCTGTCCGCTCCGAGCCGGGCTCTGCTCGCCCGGCCCGGGGCTGTCCGCCCGGCCCGGGGCTCCGCGCTCTCCTCACCGCGTCCTCCGCGCACGGCCGCGCACTCAGCGCGCTCTGTGGGAGCCTGAAGGGCATCCCGGCCCCTTCGCGACCTCTGCCCGAGGCCTCCCCGTTCCTTCCGCGCCCTGTGAGGGTCGCTGAGGGTGCTGGGGTGCGGAGCAGCGCTCGGGCCGGGCTGAGGGGCCGAGAGCCGCGGAAAGGGCTTGCGGCCCACCTGGGACCAGAGCTCGGGAAGGCTCTGAGGGGCGGCTGAGGGCACTTGGCTCGTTCAGCTGGAGCACAGGAGACTGAGGGGAGGCTCCTCGAGCTGTGCCAGGGCTTGGCATGGAGCTCAGGGCAAGGCTCTTGCCCCCGAGGGTGCTGGCACTGCCCAGGCTGCCCAGGGAATGGTCCCGGCCCCAAGGCTGCCAGAGCTCCAGGAGCGTTTGGACAGCGCTGCCAGGGCTGCTCAGGGTGGGGCTGTTGGGGTGGCTGTGCAGGGCCAGGGGCTGCCCTGAGCATCCCTGAGGGTCCCTTCCAGCTCAGGGTATTCTGGAATTCTAAGCTCTTTTCCTGATTGAGGTGACTTTCTCAGGTACCTCAGCCACGAGCATCTGCCAGGCCTTTCACAGTGGTAATTTGTTGTTTCCCTGGGTGTGTCTGCCCTTTAGGACCCCCACCCTGGTGACATGGGGTGGTGTGGCTGGCGTTGGTGTGATCTGGGCCACAGACTGGAAGCTGGTCTTGCAGTACGTTCCCTACATCGGCGGCAAGTTCAAAACTGAAGACTGAGCTTCCCTCTAATGGTGAGTTTTGGTTGTACATCTTGTAGCTTAATCAATAGAATTATAAAATCACAGAATCCCAGATGGGTTTGGGTTGGAAGGACCTTAGAGCTCACCCTGTTCAGTCCCTGTCATGGGCAGGGACACCTCCACTATCCCAGGTTGCTCCAAGATCTGTCCAGGACAACCTAGCCTGCAACACTTGAACACCAACACAATAGCCCTGTATTGTTGTGACAGTGGATATTTCTTCTTTGCCTGGGGAACAATCATATTTTTCTCTATTTTTAAATGGTGCTTCACAGAGCACCAGAAGGATGGAATATTCATTGGAATATGTTTTTCAAATGAATATTTTGCAAGCAGCAGGTCTTTACAACATAATGCAGTTCTTAGGAGGTCAAATCAGGCTAATTTGGAACTTTTGACTTATCTGTTTACTTCTGTTCCTGAGCAGAAGAGCTAAAAGGTCTGGACTTGTTTTGTGGCTAGGCAAATTCAGACTCCTTTCTGCTCCTTGTATGTGGTATTAAAAGTAAATTGAATTTTCAGAGCTGGTTATTGTATTCCACAAATTCCTTGGAAGATTTGCTTTCTCAAGGTTTTGTTTCTTCTTTAAATGCCTATCAGAAGTGCTGTTCTGAATGTTCTGAAAGTCTGACCATTCCTAAAGCTGGAGCAGCAGTTAGACAATCCTTCTGTAGGGGCTCTAACTGCATATTCTTTCTAGTGGGCAGGCTTTGGATTTCTTTATTCCTTACTGCAGACAGAAGAGAGTCAGGAAGATTTTTCCATTCATTAAAGGATGCTAATGGAGAAACTCTGAGTCCTGAGGAAACTCTGTCCACCTCAGGGTTTGTTTTTTCTGGTCAGAATAACAGTTACATTGAAATGTTGATTAGTGAAAGTGAGCTATTTGTGTTCCAGCTACACAGTATTTTGTAGGGAAGTCAGTTTGGAAAGCACAGGCAGTACTTTTTAAGTCCTTTTCCAGCAATAATTGTTGCAGTTTAAACAATTTACTGTTTGCAAACTTCGTATTGCACAGATCCTTCTGTAACCAAGAGAGGAATGAAACTTGTCTTGGAAGTCAGCTGAACTG